GCCGCCCGGGGAGCCGCCCACCCGTCCCGGGGCAGCTCTGCCCTGACGTGTTTCTTGCTTTATCCACTGACTCCGGAAATGACTCTCCGAGGCCACGTGGTTTCCTCACACGTGCATCACGAGAGACGGGCCCTGTACTCACCCTCCCACCCCACAGTCAGCCAGCTGCACCTCTCAGGCCTTCTCAGACCAGCATCTTCACCTCGACCTTCACAGCCACCTCCCAGGCCGACAGTGGAAGGATCCTCCCGGCCCCCGCTGCCACCTCCCATTCAGCCTGCATCCTGTGCCCCAGGGGCGGCTCCACGACCTCCTCAGCTCACGCCGTTCCAGCCTCAGACAGGGTGCCTGCCCCGCAGTCTCAAGTTCAAGCCTGTCGCCCTTCGCATCGCACACGAGGCCACTTTCTCCCACGAACCCCCCACGTGGCGGCAGCCTCTGCATCCCACGTGCCTAACCTCTATCTGATCCGGGACAGGCCCTGGACAAACACGGAGGGAATGGGGGAATAAAGAGGGACCAGGGCGAGCCTTGGCCTAAACCAGACTTTCCTGCCCCTTCGATCCAGCTCTGGGGCTTGTCTCACAATCGCGGCTTTTTCCCGCCCTTGGATAGGGGTCTGCTGTGCTTAGCACAGATGTGATAACCGTCGTCAGCCCCAGGAGGCCCGGCAAGCAGCCTCCTGGGCTTATCCAGGCTGCATGGATCAAGCCCCAGATCTAGGTACAGGGGCAGCCGGGCTGCAGGACCACATGTGCGGGTGTCTGGAAGCAGGTAAGCCGGGTGCACATGTCCCCTGATGAGGGAAATACTTTCCACAGCGGTTGGCTCGAACAGGGAGGCCAAGGAGTGTGGGCGGGATGCCAGCTGTCCACCCAGCTGGCGAGGCTTCTCAGCCTCGTGCATATAGTGGACGACGCCGTGTCTGGAGCCCTCGTTTCAGAAAACTGGAAGCTGCAGAGGCTGCGTTATTTACTCCTGATTTAATGAACAGTTTCTTCTGAAGGGCGACTGTACTCACTGAGAGCTTCTTTGGGGACCGACAGTAATCAACAGTCACTGCGGACGGACATGGCATGGCGCCGACACGACCCCTCTCACGGCTTCATCCCCGTGAGGGAGGACGTGGCACTGAGGGCCCAAGCAGCTTGTCCAGAGTGTCACGGCGGGTCCACGGCAGGGCTGGGATTTCTGGCTCCGGAGTCTGTAGTCTTGGCTCCTAAACCACGTTGCTGCTCAGTAAGCAATCCTGAGCTTTCCTTTCACTTGGAAACCACAAATAAGGCGCCAGATCAGGAGAGCAGATACGTTTTTGACGCAGGGCCAGGGCGTGGGGTGAGACGGTCAGAGGGTGGCCGGACGCGCAGGAAGGGGAGCTCTGGAATCCACATGGGAAGCGGGTCCCCTCCCACGCCTGGTGGGGGGGCGGGAAGATGGGCTGGAAGCAAGGAGAACGGCAGGAGACACTCACCGTCTCAGAGCTGACCGGGCTTTGGGAAACAGGACAGAGAAGCTGAGGAGAAAGAGGAAAGGGAGGTTGGAGCGCCTGGTCCACAGGAGGGCTGACGTGGGCTGCTGCGAGCCGGGCTTGGGGGCTAAAGGCAGGTAGGCAGCCCGCAGCCCCTGGTGAACAGCCCTCCGCACTCTGCCTCCGGGAGCCCAGCGCCCTGGGTCTCAGTGAGACCTTAAGCGTGTCTGTTGGAACCGTAAACGTCTCACGGGAAGCTCGGCAACAAGACGCTGGCAGACGCGGCCGGAAGGCACCTCTCAAGATTCGCCAAACACCTGCAAGAGCGGGGATAACCCCGGGGCCGCTGAAGAGCCCACAGAGGGTCCCTGTTAACGGCTACAGTTACACACGCAGAGCAGCCTGCTCTGTGCCTTTGTTCCTAAGATCTGGGGAACTGGTGTGTTATAACCCATGACAGAGTACCACAAGCCCGCAGCTCAACACACACCTTTCCTGTCTCAGCGTCCTGGAGACCGGACGTCCCAGATCCAGGGGTCGGCAGGGTGGCTCCTCCCGAGGCCGGCTTCTCCCCAGTTCCTCACGTGGTCGTCCGCCTATGTGTCTGGGTCCTATTTTCTTTTCTTTCTTTTTTTTTTTTGGTACGTGGGCCTCTCACTGTTGTGGCCTCTCCCGCTGTGGAGCACAGGCTCCGGATGCGCAGGCCCAGTGGCCATGGCTCACGGGCCCAGCCGCTCCGCGGCATGTGGGGTCCTCCCGGACCGGGGCACGAACCCGTGTCCCCCGCATCGGCAGGCGGACTCTCAACCACTGCGCCACCGGGGAAGCCCTGGGTCCTATTTTCTCATCTCTTTTCTTATCTCTGGCTTCACTTTAGTCTAATCCGCTCTGTAAAGATCCCACGTCCAAACACGGGGCCTGCAGGGTGATGCTGGTGCTGGCTCCCTGCCAGCTGTGTCATCTCCCAACAGGCCCCAAGAGGAAGGACTCTGTAGGGAATGGGAGCGCACAGAGGCTGGGACTGTGAGAGGCCCACTGGCCAATGGCAGAGCAGAGATCCAAACTCGGGTCAGACACGGCAGCTGGGAGTGGGATCCAGGGTAGAGTGAGCTGCTCCTGGGAAAACGTCACTCATTTCAATGCGGGGGAGCAGGGGCCACGCAGACGGACGAGGTTAGGGCTCAGACCATGGTGCTGGCGGAAACAGGGCCTCTGTGTCTCTTCACGATGGCATCAGGCCCCGCAGGAGGCCCTGCACTCAGGCGACACTCCTGAAACTCATGCTTCTTGAACACGTGCATACGTGCGCTGGGCCTATACTCGAGGCCCGAGACGCAAACGTCAGACGCGAGGAACTTAGCTGGCGGTCCAGTGGTTAAGAATCTGCCTTCCAACGCAGGGGACGTGGGTTCGATCCCTGGTCAGGGAACTAAGATCCCACATGCCGTGGAGTAACTAAACCGGCACGCTCTAGAGCTCACGCGCCACAACTAGAGAGCCTAGAGAGTCCGCACGCCACAACTCCTGAGGCTGCGTGCTCTGGAGCCTGCACACCAAAACTAGAGAGAAGCCTGCATGTTGCAAAGATGGGCCCACGTACTGCAATGAAAGATCCCGCGTGCCGCAACAAAGATTCCGCGTGCTGCCACTAAGACCGGACGCAGCCAAATAAATAAATTAATTCATTTAAAATCCATACATTAAAAGAAAAAAGAGACGCAAGCAGGAGGAGGGGAGGGGGCTCACCACCCACACCCCGCCCTCCTCCAGATGCAGCTTCATTCCCCACTTGTGGAACTTCTTCCCGCGCTGCCCTCTCGGTTCCACGACTGAAGGCAAGTACTTTTAGATGAGCAGCTGGGCAAAGACAGCGCCTCTGACACCATGAGCGTGTTATCCTCAGACGACAGCGAGAGCCCTCTCCCACCCCCTCTGAGCCCTTCAGTTCAAAGTCATCCACCTGGGCCTCACAGAAAATCCTGCACAATCAAACCTGCTTCACTGAGAGGAAGCTGGCATACGCTCACCTGCACGCACGCTGGCGTCCACGTGATGCGCACCTGTGACACCATCGCCCCCACCGACGGAAGGGACATACCCACCCCCAGGAAGCTTGCTCCTGCCCCTTCCTCATCCGCCCACCCCACCCCCTCGGGAGCCACTGGTCTGCTTTCTGTCACTACAGATGCGATGGCGCTTTCCGGAATTTCCACGGGTGGAATTTGCCACGATTGCCCTCCCTCTGTCTCCAGCCCTGGGCCCTCGACACGCCCTGTGCTTTCTTCCCGTCTCACTCCTCCAGGCCTCAGGCTCTGTTCGCTGCCACTCCCCTGCTGGTCCAGACCTTCCATTCCAGACTGTCGCTGTCTGTGACACTTCATCTCCTTAGCCTACGTCACAGAAGAGCACAGTGTCACAGACCACCGCGGTGACCTTTTAGAGGTCTCCCTGGCCACGGACAGCCCTCGCTCCAATGCATCCATGTCACCGACTGGCTTTGCTCTCAAGACACAGTTACAATCACATCGTTCTCCAGGCTGTCGCCACGCCCGTGGGACCACAGCATATATTTGCGTCTCCCGGCGACCCACCGCTGTCACCTGTGGCCTCCCGTGCCACTCTCTCTGCTGTGCTTTTGTTCAGTCTTTTTTTAAAAAAATATTTATTTGACTGCGCCAAGCCTTAGCTGCGGCACGCGGGATCTTTAGTTGGGGCACGTGGGATCTAGCTCCCTGACTAGGGATTGAACCTGGGCCCCCTGCGTTGGGAGTGCGGAGTCTTAACCGCTGGACCACCAGGAAGTCCCCTTTGTTCAATTTTTAGAAGCTGTCTCACCTCCACAAGGAGGTTGCCAACCTCCCCCCTCACCCGATACAGCCCCTGCTGGAGGAGGACCCCAACGAAAGTTCGTGAACGATCAGAGAAGCACGCACAACGTAGCCAAGTTTAGAAGGACTCCGAAGGCTTCAGAACTTCCCTTCTGTGATTATTAGAAAGTTACACTCTTCCCTCAAGAGAGAGACAACGGAAGGTGATTTTGAAAGCCTGAAAGTATGAAGGCCGGGGTGACCTCCCACGAGTCTCTGCGTGGAGCGTGAACTGAGCTCTGTTTCTCCATTTCTGCTACCAACCCCACTACTCTGTCATCCTCACCTTCCCAGGATGCCAGCAGGTCCTCTGCAGCTGGGTCATCTTGACACTCAATTCATCCTATAAGGAAGAGTCAGGGGTCCTTAGAGACATAACTACGAGAAGAGCCAGGCTCAGACACAGGAAGTGCTGTGCAGGGACAAGACCTCACAGAAAGGAGGGCCACCCACCTCCTTGCATCTGCGAGTGGACCAGGATGGGAGATGCACCAGGTACTTGGGGAAACTGGTGGGAGTTCTCCAAGTAAGTGGTAGAGGCTAGGGCTTCATTTTTTGACGCTTTAAATGACCACGTGACCTGTATTCTTTTATGTGCATCAAACGTTCCTTAATAAACAGGAAAACTTTTACCCAGAAACAATGGCTGTGGGGGAAAAAAAGTTATCAAGAAGAAAAGGGTAGGGCGGGCGTCCCCTGCAGTGATGACCGGGACATGGTCCAGCCGAGAGCCCTCAGCCCTGGGCCACTCCACCGAGATGTTTTCTCTAGATGGGGATGGCTGGTGAGCGTGGGCAGTTCCTGGATACTTACAAGGCAATGCAAAGCGGAGCACAGAATGTGACTTGGGACCGTTCTGCTTGAGAGCAGGGTCAGTGAGCCATGGCCAGGGGCCAAACGGAGCCCTCCCGACCTGTTTTGGACAGCCCAAGAGCTGGGGGTGCTCATATCAAAGAAAAGCAAAAGACGTAGCAGGGACTTCCCTGGTGGTCCAGTGGCTAAGACTCCGTGCTCCCAATGCAGGGGGCCCGGGTTCGATCCCTGGTCAGGGAACTAGATCCCGCATGCGTGCCGCAACTAAGAGTCCGCATGCCGCAACTAAGGAGCCCACCTGCCGCAACTAAGACCCAGCGCAGCCAAAACAATCAATAAATATTAAAAACAAAAGACATTAAAAAAAAAAAAAGACATAGCAGCATTATTCACAATGGTCAAGAGGTGGAAGAGCCCAGCGTCCACGGATGGATGAATAAAGTGTGGTCCATCTGCACAACGGAACGTCGCTCAGCAATAAAAAGGAAGGAAACCGTGACGCTCGCCACACAGGTGAACCCTGAGGACACGATGCACAGTGAAATAAACTAGACACAAAAAGGCAGGTCCTACATGATTCCACTGACACGGGGACCTAAAGGAGCCAAAGTCAGAGTGACAGAAAGTAGATGGTGGCTGTGAGGGCCGGGGAGTCGGCGTTTATTGGGGACAGAGTCTCAGTTTAAGAGGGTGAGGAAGTTCTGGAGGCGGACGGTGGTGATGCTGCACCGCAGTGTGAACGCTCTTAGAACTGAACACTCAAACCCGGTTAAAAGGGACGTTGTGTGTCATGTGTATTTTACCACTGTAGAAAAATACCAACAAAATCAAAAGAAGACGTTGCGGCCTGAAAATTCTCTGAGATGCACACCTCCGTGTCCGTGTCGCTTGCTCGTTTTCTAGCGCTGCTCTGGATCCGCCACAGCAAAGGCAGGTTGCGGCGGCCGAGCTGGAAGAGGCAGGAAGCCAATGGTGTTTGCCACCCAGTCTTCTGCAGAAAAGCCTCGAGCCAGTGCCGGGACCCACGGAGACGGGCTCACTGTGCGGGCGCAGGGTCAGAGTCCTGGGCCTTTAGAGGTCGTCGAGTTCAAGCCCTTCAAGATGAGAAGCCCCATGGGACTCCAGAAGGTGACGGAGAGGACAATGAGAAACGAGGCGGGCAGTGAAATCCGCGGCACTGGCCCTTCTCGCTCTGAATGGGTGCTGCTGCTGGGCTGCTGGCTTGGCCTGGAGGAGAGAGGAGCTTCCTCCTATGTTCTCCCGCTCAGTGGCTCCCACCGCCTCCACTGCCAGTCCCCCCCACCAGCGCCGCTCCGCCCCCCCCGGCCTCCTCTTCCGTCCGCTTGCCCTGGACCACACCGTCTGCATCGCCCACGTGTACCACCTCGCGGTGGAGTCCACCTGCACCTCATCACCTCTGCAATGGCACCTTCTCTGTAAGTAGCGAATCCTCGCCCACCAAGGTAATCTCCCCCGGGACAGGAGACTCCCTCCCTTTCCATCTCCCACTGCCTCACTCCCTGGTGTTTCACACGTCCCCGGTTCCAGAGTAACCTCGCTGCTGAGGATCTCCAGAGTGGACTGAATTGAAACGAAAGGGCAATAAGGAAAGATCTACGTACAGACACATATCATCTTTTCAAGTCACCTCCCATCCACTAAGTCCCTTCAGGGAGCACTGCCCTGCTGTAGGAAACACGCTCTCTGCGGCTTCGAAAGTTACCCCCACGCTGGGTTGGCCTGACTGCAGGGCCTCTGTGCACTGTGTTATCTGTCTTTATTACTCACGGGGTGGTCCTCACCCAGCAGCTTCTGCCGTCGACACCTGGGGCGCTGGCTACACAGGCAGACTCCCAGACCTCCTGACTCAGAACCTGCACTGCAGCACACTCCCTGGGTGACGGGTACGCATGCCAACGTTTGGGAAACGCCATCCCACATGCTCTCTCGTCAACACTGAGAAATCACCACAAATAAAAGGAAACCTGGGAATGCACATGAAACCGCAATGAGACACCAGCTCACACTTCACAGCCCTTGGGATGGCTACCACAGAAAAGAACGAAAGAAAAGAACAAGGGTCAGCGGGGACACAGAGAAACGGGAAGCTCGTGACTGCTGGCGGGGATGTAAAATGGTGCAGGCGCGGGGAGAACAGTCTGGAGGTTCCTCAAAACATTAAACACAGAACTACCACATGAGCCAGCAATCCTACCACTGGGCAATTCTACCCAAAAGAACTGAAAGCAGGAACTTGAAGGGATGTTTGACACCCACGTTCACAGCAGCATTCCTCACAACAGCCAACAGGCAGAAGCACCACAGAAATCCACTGATGGATAAATGGATAAGCAATGGTCCGTCCACACCACGGAACAGTATCACTCAGCCTTAAAAAGGAAGGAAATCCTGGCACCTGCTACCGCGTGGATGGACCCTGAGGACATTATGCTCAGTGACATAAGCCAGACACAGAGGGACAAATCCTATAGGATTCCACTTACATGAGGCCCCTGGAGTGGACACATTCAGACACAGAGAGTAGAAGGGTGGCTGCCAGGGGCTGGAGGAGGGGTGGGCAGTCAGCATTCAGTGGGGACAGAGTCTCCGTTTGGGAAGATCAGAGAGCTCTGGAGATGATGGTGGTGATGGCCGCACAGCAACGTGAGTGCCCTCATTGCCCCTGAGCTGCACTTGAAAACGGTTAAGATGGTAAAGTTTACGTTACGCATATTTCACCACATGAAAAAAAAATGCTTTGAAACAAGACAGGAAATCTGAGGACTATGGGAGATGCTCCAGGCTTCGCTGTTGCCCCTCGACCTTGACAATTCAAGCTGACTCCGTTTTCCCTGCACCTACCACCACGCCTGTGAAACACGTTTGAACGGAGCAAATCAGAACGTGTGGACGTGTGTCTTAAAGTTTCTCCATCTGGTTTCTCACCCTCACCATGACCCAACAGGCATTAACCCACACCTCTCTGACAAAAAAAAAAAAAAAAAAAGAAATAAAAAGAAAATAGAGGCCCTGTGATGAGTTTATCTTATACATGCATGTAGACTGACCATTCAGGAGACCTGGGGCTCACGGTGTCAGCCTGGGGGTCTACGTCCAGCCCTCCTTCAGGGGGCTTGTTTGTTCAAGGTTCCCCACTACATAAGGGGCCCTTTGCCCACATGCACACAGTCAGGCATTTATGCCTACACGTTCAACCGTGAACATGGTTTACACCATCATAACACTGAGAACATTTAACTGTATGGGGGAGGAAGGAAGAGAATTCCTCATTCCTACTTAGTGGTAATCAACAGACACCATCGAAAACGGAAATAAAGGAAAGAGAGAAAGAAAGAGGGAAAAGAAGCAGATTATTTAGAAACACGGAGAAATATAAGAGATTTAAAAGTGGCCGCCTTTGGTGAGCTGGAACCTGGGCGGGGGGTATAGAAGGGGATCTGGTAATTCACTCTCTAAATCACGTCCATGTAGTACTGTCTACGTCTGTTCAAGATGCTATCCCAAACACCACCACAGGCTGGCAGCTTAAACAACTACCACTGAGCTCTCACAGTTCTGGAGGCTGGAAGTCCAAGGTCAAGGTGCTGGCAGATTCAGTGTCTGGTGAGAGCCCCTTCCAGGTTCCCGGGTGGTGTCTTCCTGTTGTTTCCTCACCTGGAAGAAGGGGTGAGGGGTCCCTTTTATGAGGGCTCCATCCCCATGACCTCATCACCCCCAGAGGCCCCCCTCCTAACGCCATCACACTGGGGGGTTAGGTTTCAACATACGAATCTGGGGTGGCATTCACTCTACGGTAAATACTTAAATTATAAACCATAAAACTGAAGTTACCCAGGTGATGTAGGGTGGAGCACCTAGCACAATACCTGGCGCAAAACAGATGTGTCATGAACGTCTGTGCCGTCCCTCACATCACTACCACGGCACAGCATAAATCACTGAGGTTCACGGGTGACCCTTCTTCTGTGGCTCAGAGAACACACCGCGACCGCTGTCCAGAGGAATCCACCAGCAACTCTTCAAAAAGGTTTCAGTGGCTTTGCATGAAACCGAAAAGCGATTCCAAGAAAACCTTAAAATAACCACCAGCAGAAACACAGCTGTAAACGGCAGTGAGATACCATTTTTCACGCGTCAGGCAGAGGGGGAGCCGCCGTGCCGGGGAAGGTTCGGGCTCCCTTACTTTTGTGGCTGGGCTTCAATGATCAATGGAGCTTCCGGAGGGAGCTTGCCAAGAGCTATCAACGTTACTTCAGGCACATCCTGCTGGGCCCAGCAATGCCAATTCCAGGGATTCCTCCCACAGAAGACCTCACACTTGCACAAAAAAGCAGCTTGTGTCCAAACATTGGTAACAACCCGACTGCCAACCAACAGGGGACACGGTGGACAAGTTACGGCAAGTCTAGATCGTCGGGGATGATCTCCAAGAAACACCGAAGGGGAAGAAAGCTATTTGCTGATACTTTCAGGAACGGAACTGGGGGGGGGCAGCCCCCAGAGTGGGAGAATTTATATCACATACTCCTATCTTCACTGACACCTGAATCATTTTAAAACTAAAAATAAATTTTTACGAAGGGAAGGGGGCAATTGGGAGTTACTGTGTAAGGAATACAGTTCCAGTTTAAGAAAATGAAAACGTTCCGGAGGTGGAGGGTGGGGATGGTCGCCCAGCGATATAAAGATACTTAATGCCACAGAACTGCACGCTTAAAAGTGGTCAAAATGGTACATTTTACAGCAATAAAAGAGTCAATATAAATGTGGCAACCCATTTCAACCAGGAAAAAAGAATCCTTGCTTAAAATGGGAGCGGGGTTTGAAAGCACCTATCTCCGAAGGAGCTCCTCCCTTAGCAGCCGGCCGCCCAGGAACTGGTCGCCCAGGGGGTGGAGAGTCTATGGGAACCCCGGGCGGCGGGGCCCGCGTCCTGCCGGGCTGAGTTCAGCTTTCACCTCGAGTCTTCCACCTCAGGGACCCGCGCGCTCCCGGTAGGGCCGCCGCCACGCGCCTGCGCACACCCCGCGCCTGCGCAGAGCCGGCGCCTGCGCGGACACCCCGTTGGGACAGATCCCCGCGCCTGCGCAGAGCCGGAGCGCGTCCGCTGGCCAGCGGGGGCGGGCTCAGCTTCGGCAGTCCATCGTCCGATCCCGCTCATTGGCTGAGAAGTGGAGCGTGGACAGGGCCCGCCGCTGATTGGGCGGCACGCGAGCAGGTGGGGCGACGCGGACCAATCGTGGGGCTGGCTGCGGCGCGGGTCGGAAAGGCCTGCTGCCGGGAGCTGGGATCGCGCTGTTTTTCGGCCATGGCCTCGGAGAAGCGGCTCGAGGTGGTGACCTGCACCGCGCCGGTCAACATCGCGGTCATCAAGTACTGTGAGTGGCGGGCCTCGGGGCCCGGGATGTGGGGGCCTTGCGTACGGGGAAACTGAGGCTCGGAGGGGCCGGTTTGGGCGGTGGACCGGGTCCTCCGCCCGCGGCAGGTGGACTGGGCCCTCGTCTGGATGAGATTGTGTGTCCGCGTGCAGGTATGAGGACCCGCCGCGCCCTCCATCTGGCAGGGCAGTGCGATCGCGGAGCTGGGCACCACCTGCAGCCGGGACACCTGGGGGCACTGTCCTTACGGGACGTCCGTCCCCGCGGGGCTAGACAGCGGGAGACACAGTCCATACAGGACGCGCGTCCCCGCGGGGGCTTGGCTCCCATGATCACGCCCACTCTGCCACCTCGACCTGCTCTCCGTGTCTGTCTGGTTCTGGTCTCAGGAATGCTCTTGGGATTCGCTCTCCTTGCTCACTAGTGCAGCACCTGTGCCTAACAATGGATTTGAAATTTTGGACTTTCTGGAAGGTTTCCTGTGTTTGCTGTGATATGACAGGAGTGGAAGTGCTCAGCGGAAGTGGGGGGAATGCTGTCTCTAGGGTGTACGAACAGGGAGATTTGAAGAGTTTTCAGTAACTGGGGCTCCTGTTTGGGAGGAAAAGGCAAGGGCCTTATAATCAGAGCACTCAGCACGGCTATTTGTTGAATGAGTGAAAGAAGCAGTGAGGCAAGGGGTCCAGCACTGCTCTCGGGAGCTAAGTGAAGTGGGGGAGCAATCCAGGAGGGCTTCCTGAAGGTGGGGGCACAGCAGGAAGAGGACTTAGATTGTACAGTGAGAGAGCTGGGTCCAGGCAGCTGGAGAGCTGTGGGGTGGCAGTGGGGGTGGGGAGGGGTGGGGCGTTGGTGGGCGGGAGCAACAGTGCGCCAGTCTGCTGGGCTGGGACACTGACTGGCTTTGCCGTGGGCCATGTGTTCCAGGGGGAAAGCGAGACGAGGAGCTGATCCTGCCCATCAACTCCTCTCTGAGCGTCACGTTGCACCAGGATCAGGTGAGCCTGGGCTGGCGATACACACCGAAAAAATATCTACAAAACCTTTGTTTACAGATGGTGGCGGTATATCCCCAGCCAACAAACGCTGCTCGACCCATCACCCGCTGTGAGGAGTGCCCAGCGCACAGGCATGCACATGCCTGGCCCCCTCCTAGGAGGCCCCTGCCCTGCATTCTCTGCCAGGAGATGGGAGTATGGGCCGTGCCTTGGGTAGTAGACGCCCATGGGGTGTTCCCACTGCCTGAGCCCGGCCCGCCTTGGCCTTCACCTCCAGCAAAGCCACTGCCCTGAGTGGGCGCCCAGGAGGGACCAGGGCCGGAAAGGCCCCTGCAGAGAGGGGTGCTTGGCCGATGCCCGCCACCCAGGAGGCCCTGCACTTTCTTTCCCAGTTAAAAACCACCACAACGGCCGCCATCAGCAGGGACTTCACAGAGGACCGGATTTGGCTAAATGGCCGGGAAGAGGACGTGGGGCAACCGCGCCTCCAGGCCTGCCTGAGGGAGAGTGAGTGGGGGCCCCGGGGATGCTGGGGTCAGGCCAGGCCCGCTCCTTCCCCTGTGCCCCTTCCTCGTGCTGGGCGGGTCCGAGTGCACAGAAGGCGCTGCCGCCGCCACCCCCCACCCCACCCCCAGTACCTCCCCCACGCCCCAGGGGCCGCGGACGCCCGTCAGCACAGCTGGGTCTGGGCCTGGGGCCTGGGATCTCCCGAGAAGGAGGTCTGCATGTGGAGCTCAGACAGAGGCCGGTCCCACCATGCTTACCCATGGCGTTGTCTTCTGTCCCTGCAGTCCGTCGCCTGGCCCGCAAGCGGAGGAGCGACGGCCACGAGGACCCGCTGCCCCTCAGCCTCAGCTACAAGGTGCACGTGGCCTCGGTGAACAACTTCCCCACGGCCGCGGGCCTGGCCTCCTCAGCGGCAGGCTACGCCTGCCTAGGTGGGTGCCCGGGATGGGTCCCAGTGCTGTGCCCCAGGCATAGGGCCGTGGCCTCGGCTGTGCAATATGTCTGAATGCTGAGCTCCGTGTATAGGACCGTGTGCGTGACAGAACGCCCCTCAAACTGGCTTAAACTAAGTGGGGATGATTACGTAGCAGAATCCCAAGGGCTGTGGCCAGCTCCAGGCTCTCAGACGGCCTACTGGGAACCCATCTCTCCCTCTGAATCTCTGCTCTGCCCTCCTCTCTGTTGGCTCACTCTCCAGCAGGGACCCCCACCCCCAAGCTGGGGGCAAAGGCACTTACCACAGAGGTGGGCAGCTGAGTCACGTCCTCCATGTAGCCTAAGACCAGTGAGCCAGGCTGCACTGGGGGCAGACGGCCTGCCTCGTGGACCCCCAGGTCCACATCCTGGCATCAGACCCTTGACCAGTTCTGGCCCTATGCCCAGCGCTGCCAGCAGCCCCAGGCGTGCATGCACACTTTTTGCTCTCCGTGCTTGGGCCCTGCCTCAGTCAGCACCCCTCAGAGCTTTTCAGAGAAGCTTTCTCTGGCCCCTCGGCACACAGGCCTCCCAGTCCCCAGGGGGCTTCCCCTCCCGCCAGAGCCCCCTGCGGAGGCTGAGTGTGTGAGCACGTGGGTGTTGGATGCCAGCCGTGGAGCTGGGGGCCGAGCCTCCTTCCCCCAGATGCCCCCCTCCCGTGGCACTGAGCACAGGCCGGTGCCCCTCCAGCCTGTCTGAGCCTCCCCGCCCCCATCACTGCCTGCAGCCTACGCCCTGGCCCGGGTCTATGGCGTGGAGAGTGACCTGTCGGAAGTGGCCCGCAGGGGCTCGGGCAGCGCCTGCCGCAGCCTGTACGGCGGCTTCGTGGAGTGGCAGATGGGGGAGCGGGCCGACGGGAAGGACAGCATCGCCCGTCAGGTGGCCCCCGAGTCACACTGGCCGGAACTCCGTGTCCTCATCCTCGTGGTGAGCTGGAGGGCCAAGCTGGGGGCGGGAGGGCCTCCGCAGCTCCTGGGGCCGTGGGCGTGGCGCACACCTCCCTCCCTCGCCACAGGTGAGCACCGAGAAGAAGCCGACGGGCAGCACGGTGGGCATGCAGACCAGCGTGGAGACCAGCGCCCTGCTCAGGGTGAGGCCGCGGCCGGCTGGGCGGGTGGCTCCCGGGGCGCTTGGAAGCCGGGCCCCGTGGCTCTGCTCGGCTCACGGAGAGGCCGCCTGCCTTGCAGTTCCGGGCCGAGGCGCTGGTGCCGGCACGCATGGCCGAGATGACCCGCTGTGTCAGGGAGCGCGACTTCCAGGCCTTCGGCCAGTTGACCATGAAGGACAGCAACCAGTTCCACGCCACCTGCATGGACACCTTCCCGCCCATCTCCTACCTCAACGACACGTCCCGGCGCATCATTCAGCTGGCGCACTGCTTCAACGCGCACCACGGGCAGACCAAGGCAGGGGCGGGCGGGGCGCCCCGGGCCGTGAGCCCTCCTCCGGGGGCCGCATCTCCCTCTCGCTCTCGTTTTGGTTGCACGGCCCCCCACCCTCGTCTCGAGCGGGTGGCCAGCAGGCACCGGGGGCTGGTCTGAGCCGGTCTGACCTTGTGGTTCCAGGTGGCGTACACGTTTGACGCGGGCGCCAACGCTGTGATCTTCACCCTGGACGACACTGTGGCCGAGTTTGTGGCTGCCGTGAGGCACACCTTCCCCCCCGAGTTGAACGGAGACAAGTGAGTTGTGGGTCCCCTCCTGGGAGGCCACGGCAGGCGGTGTGTCCCACGTCTGCCTCTGTGTGATCGCGGGCGCTACTCCCCTCGGTCCAGCCCCGGGGGCGCGCACGTGCCGCCCGCATCTCCTGTGACGGCGGGGCGTCTGGATTTCTTCCTCGCCGCTGTTTAAGGGACCCAGTTCTCAGTGAGGGGACGCCTGCCCGCGAGGGGCACGGGAAGTGTGGGTGGGGCCCTTTCATCTGTCACCCGGGGGGGCGGTGCCACTCCTGGTGGGAAGAGCCGGGTGCTACCTTCCACACCACGTGGGACCGGCCCCACGACCGAGGACTCATCGCCCTGGGGTGGTTCGTAGGTTTAACACCAACCCGAGCGTCAGCTGAGGCCTTTGCTTCTTAAGCTGTGTCCCCCAACGGGCGCAGCAGCAGCCGTGGGCCAGGGTGAGAGGCGGCGCCAAAGCCTCGTGGAGCTTTCCCGAAACCCTCCCCTCAGCGACGGCGCCAGGCCCTCGGCCTTCCCGCGCGGCGTCTGTGTGCCTGGTCAGTGCTCGTGACGTCAAGCCACCATTTAACCGCTCTGCGGTGTACAGCCCGGGGCATTAAGAACGTGCTGGGCACCCTCGTCCGTCAGCCCCAGAGGCCCCGACTCCGTCGGCAGTCACGACCCCCCTGCCCCCGGCCGCCACTTCGTGTTCCGTCCCGGATCTGCCTGTTCTGCACGTGCCCCATCCCTGCCCTCCCCGTCCAGTCCTGCCTTGTCTCCTAGGTTTCTGAAGGGGCTGCCCGTGGAGCCTGTCCCGCTCTCGGATGAGCTTAAGGCTGCGCTGGGTACGGACCCCACCCCCGGGGGCATCAAATACATCATTGCCACTCAGGTGAGTCCTGGCCGCGCACCGCACGTGCCCTGCGGGCTCAGGCCCAGGCTGAGGGGAGGGGAGGGTGGGTCTGGAATGTGGGGACCCCCAGAACAGATCAGGGTCCCTACTCGGGTGGCAGGGCCGGGCTTTCCGCCACATCCATCCAATTCCCAGACCTGTGACCTGTGCACCCAGGCCTTGGCCTCTACCGTCCACCCCAGGTCTGCCCGGAGGGGCCGAGGCTGTGCTGGAGGATTGGGCCCTGGGCCCGGCGTCACCAACAGGGTGTTATCTGACCGGCACTTCCTGGAAGGAAGTCGCTCCCTGTCACCTGCCCTGACGTTGATTCCTCACCCCCCTAGGTGGGACCCGGGCCTCAAGTCCTGGATGATCCTGGCGCTCACCTCCTGGGTCCCGATGGTCTGCCGAAGGCAGCCGCCTGACCGCCTCCTCGACGGAGCCCTGGCCGCCACCGGGAGAAGAGGCCGCTTTGCTGGGACTGGGAACCGGGTGTGGCGGCTGCCCGGCGTGCTTGTTGGGATTTGTGCGTGGCCGCCTGGCTCCGGGCTGTGGCCTAGTTGGACAGTGGGACAACGCCTGCAGGTGCCCAGGCGGTCAGGAGCAGGGCCGCCAGGTGTCTCACCTTTCCCCGACCTGCGCCCAGCACCTTGCTGAGATGGGAGCCTGGTTCCGGATCCAAGCACTGGGGGACCGAGCCGGCCAGTGGGGAGCTGCCAGTGCATCGCCAATAAAGGGCTCTGGCCCTGAACTCGGGGGTCACTCCCACTGCCCCCAACAGCAGCTTGACCACTGGAGATGATGGCGTGTCAGGGGTCCCCCCTCGGAGCTGGAGCACGGGCCACCGCACAGGGTGCGACCTCAGGACACCCCCGTGAAGTGCTCCGCCTGACCCTGAGCCCAGGCCCCCGAGTGGGTACAGGGTGTCTTCACAGAAAGACCCGCGTTGTGTCTGTGGGGACCGGGGAGCAGCACCAAGGCCGCAGTAAAGGCAGTTCGACGAGCGTGCTTTCTCCTGGTCCAGGCAGAGCTCACCGAGGGGGCTGGGAGGGCACGGCGGGAGATGGGGCTGGGGACTCGACTTCTGCCCCCAGCTCGCCCTCTGTTGCCCAGCCACATATGGGGTGCTCAGCTGACCCTGCCCCATGGCCATGGCCACCACCGTGGTGGACGTGGTCACTCAGGCTGACGGGCTGGGGACGCGGTTTGGGCCTGGCTCTAAGCTCCGTCCAGGAAGGGAGGTGGGAAGCGGCTTTGCGGGCAGGAGCCCCTACTCAGCCCGAAGCTGTGGGTCTGCGACCAGAGCCCTCGCTCCAAGTGAGCTTCTCCATTCCTCTGAGCTGAGCGACCTCCCCTTTCGCACCCCTCCCCATTGTCCTAACCAGCTGGGGGGAGGAGGGGGAGGGCATCTGAGCGCTCTGACCTTGACCCTGAAGGGGGGTCAGAGGAGGGAGGTGAGAGGACTGCCCAGCACCCCTGCACTCCGGATTTTCCCAGAAGCCTCCCACACTCTCAGCACCACCCCTCCCAAATTAGCCTCTGAGCAAAGGGTTGCCTGCAGAGGCCACACCTGTCCACACCCGCGCTAGCCCAGGGCCAGATGAGGCGGAGGCTGGGCCTGCGCTGACACGAGGCTCAGGGGTCCTGGCTGGAAGCCCCGCCCCCACTCGAGTCCACCGCGGCCGAGCTGGCTGGGTCTGCACGGGGGAAGGCCTGGGCCGGCTGGGTAGGGCCCCTTCCTGAGCTCCAGGTTCCAGGCTCTCGTGGCGGGGGTGGGGGACGCGGCTCCCGGGAGCACCGGGACCCCACCTGCCCCCAGGCCTGCCTGCCACCTGGGGAACCGGGGCTGGGGCGGGGCCAGCGGCGGGGCGGGGCCGGGCGGTGCCGGAACTCGGGGGACTCGGGGGACTCGGGGCGGGAGGCAGGCGGAGCTCTGGGGACGCGGGATCCGAAGTGCCTTAGCCGTGTCCGAGCCGGGCCGCTACCATGGGGCAGATCGAGTGGGCCATGTGGGCCAACGAGCAGGCGCTGGCGTCCGGCCTGAGTGAGTGGGGGGCTGCCGCACTGGGGGCGGGGCTGCAGAGGGCAGCTGCGCCTGGGGTGAGGGGTGCCGCGGCAGTCCAGGCTGGAGCCCGGGCTGGGGAAGTGGGGGCCTGGAGGCCTCAGGCTATGGCCGAGGAAAGGGGGAGGGCTCAGGCTGGAGAGGGGGCGGGAGAGGGTCCTGAGGAGCCAGAGACCCTGGGCTGCAGGCCAGGAAGTGGGAACTGAGGCCTGGGGGTGGGGGCCTCGAGACTGGAGACTCCAGCGGCAAGGAGTCTGGGGGCCTGTGTTGGGAGCAGGCAGCAGCCTCCTAGCGGAGCCTTGGAGCTGGGGAGGGGGATCCGGGGCCCTCCTGCCCCTGCAGACCCGTGCACACCCACACCCCATCCTCTGTCCCTTCACTCTTCCACCCCCACCCCCACCCCACCCCGTCACAAGAGGAAGTTACAGTCGGGGGAAGAAGCGTTAGCCCCCGGTGGTTTCCGGAGAGTCACTGCCCAGCAGGGTTGGGAAAACCTGGCCTGACCCACCCCTGTCTGGACTGGCCCCTCCTGCCCTGGGGGTCCTGGGGTGTGGAGGTGGGCTCCTCCTGCCTCCTGGCCTTGGACTTGGCCCATGGGGGGCGACCGCTCTGTCTCTGGGGCCCAGGCCTGAGTCTGCTCAGAAGGCCATTGCACAAGGCGGCTGGAAACAGCCATGTGACCTCCTCCCACCCAGCTCCCTGCGGCTGCTTCTGGGGAGGGACGGCGCCGTCACCCTGCCGCCCTGCGCTCATGGGGCGGAAGCCCGTGCTGTACAGACGCAGGAACCTCTCAGGAGGCGGCGAGGCCTGAAGCAAGAAGAAGCCGCTCATGGCTCTGCCCCTCCCAGGAAGGCCCCACACCTAGTCCGAGTGGGCGGGTGGGAGGACTGGGGGATACGGTGATGAGGAGGGTCTCAGCCCACCCCCGCTTATCTGGGACCCACCCCGAGGCCCCCACGCCCATCCTGGGGACTGGAGGAGCCGGCAGAGCTGGGTGCGGAGGGGAGCATTGTAAGGTTGCGTTTTGGGAGGTGGGCAGCTTTGGGGCACCAGCCCCAAGATTTGTGCCCAGGCAGACAGGCCCCCTTCTGGCGTCTCAGTGGCTGAGAACTCAGTGGGTCAGTACCTGGCTCTCCTCACTTCTGCCCAGAGCTGTGGTCTCCCCCCCCACCCCCCCTGCAATGACTATGGCTCAGCTTCCTCCACCATCAGAAGGGTCGGTTTGTCAGAAGTTCCCCCTTTTGGCTCCAAATTCCTCCTTTTGCTGACTTTTCCTCCCGATTCAGTACTAACTCCAGCCCTCCGGGCTGACCAGGCCAGGCCCGACGAGCGGCCCAGCAGCCCGTGCGCCCTTTTTATTGTAGAAAGTCCCATCTAATCAGACCATGTCCCCTCCAATTCCGACCGCTCCACCCCTGGCCCTCTAGTCCTCTGGGGCCCACCCACCCTGGCCTTTGCGGAAGCGGCTTCGGAGAAGTCTTTCCAGAGCGCACAGCCTGACGTAGCCAGCACCTCTGCCCACGTTCACCTTGCTCACCACTAGCTGAAGTTTCCATCCCCATCGTGAGACCACAGCCCCATGGGAGCTGAGGCTCTTGCTGGTGATAGAGGCCCAGGCCAAGGAAGTTACACCCCCAGGTCGAGTGGCCATGGTGCTGCCTGAAGGCAGGGGAGATGTCCCTTCCCTCCTGCAGCTCAGGGAGGCGCCGACAGCACAGCAAGCGTGAACATGAACGTAGCTGAGCCTGACACCTGCGGAAGATGATGCGGGTTCAGGGGCTGAAGGGAGGGGTGCCAGGAGTCAGGGCTTTTACCCGGTGAGATTCTGAGGCCAGAGCCGGGAAGAAACAGACCAAAAGATCATCCCCCACAAGGAACTGTGCCATCTGCCACTGGAGCCTGGACGAAGAAAGTCTCGAACAAGACAAAACCGCTGGAAACTCAGGCCTGTACTGCGCATGGGGTGGGGGGGGCTGCCACAGGGCCCACTGACCAGGAAGTTCAGGTCACCGGAAAGAACTACTGAAGGATGTGCTACAGCGAGAGCGTTGCTGGATCCAGAGAGAAGGACGGCAGCGCCAGCGTGAAGACACTGGCTGTAAATCATTAATAACCGTGGGTAGTTTGGGGTGAGACTGAAGTTAAACCTTCTAAAGTCCACATGCGGTTCAGGAAGAGGAATTTTAAAATTAAAGTTTGATCAAGTCAGCAGAAGGCAGAAGAAGCAACAGAAAAGCTACTTCAAGAGAAAACACAAGAGAGCAAAGTAAGTTACCTGCAAGCACAGTCGATAAAAGGTGTTAAATTCACTATCAGATTGCTTAAACCATAAAGAATCTAGCTCTATCGGCTTATCCATTACAGCCCACGACCAGAAGCAACTGACACGTCCCAAAGACAGGAGAATGGATAAACACATCGTGGCGGATTCACACAGTAGGAAACTACCCAACAAGACAAAGAGTGAGCTGGAGCTCCACGCAAACCACCGCAGGAAGGGCCTGGACAAACCTTCGGTTCAGGAAAAAAGGGCCCTCGTGGAACTTTCTGGGGTGGCGGGAATCTTGATTCAGGGAGGTCACGTAGGGGGTCACACATGTAAAAAGTCTGTGCACTTTATGTAATCGTTATACCTCAATAAATGACTGGAAATCCTGGGGCCAGTTGGTGGTGACGGTGTCAAAACAATGTGAATGTGCTTCACGGCACTGAGCTGTTCACTGATTTTACCGCAATAGAAAAGAAAAAAATTACTGGGGAGGAAAGCCAGAGATACGCTTGCTCGCGGCAGGCGCACACAGGGCTGCAGGTAAAGGGCTGGAGAGACCAAGTCCACTCAGAACTGCATGAGACAAAACACACGAATGGGGGCGTCCAGGACACCCCCAGCCGGGAGAGAACGTCCACGCAGCCGGTACAGAGTCAGCAACCAACAGTGCAGTCTTTAAATGCATCGAGCCAACACTCAGCGTGTTGAGGGTCAGGGGCCTGGGGAGCGTGTCCAGGCTGGAGCCCAGGCCTTTCCTCTCCCACACATCCCTCAGCAGCTCCTCAGGCCCCTCCCTGGCTCGAATGCTGCTTCCCAGGGGAAGGCGTCCCGACCCCCATGCCTACGGCCATTCCCCATCACCGGCCAGGGGCTGCACCCACCTGGGTCCCCTTCCTGGGCTAACACGGTGGCGGACAGAGGGCAGCTCTGTGGTGCACTGGTGGCCCCTCTGGGGGAGGGGGAGCACAGGGGGGCGGCCGGAGCCCCTGCAGGCGTGGGGTGGGGCACCTGCTAACCTGCTTCTCCTCTGTCCACAGTCCTCATCACCGGGGGCATTGTGGCCACGGCCGGCCAGTTTGCCCAGTGGTACCTGGGCGCATACTCCATGTATCCTCCCGCTGCACACCCCAGGTCGGGGCGGGGGGGTAGAGATGCCGCTGCCCCTGGAAGGCAGGAGGGGCTCATAGCAGGGAGGTGACAGACCACCGGGCTGGGCCCTGGCGGGGTGGGAGGTATCAGTGCCCCCTGAGGGTGGCACTGAGGCCTCGGGAATGCTCGGGATCCCCTCCACACCCCCGTCTATCAGCCACCCTCCCTAGCCGGCCGGGCCTATCCACGAGGGGACCGGGTCCCCCCTTCCCCCCGCCAGCTCAGCTGTTACAGGCTCTCTGGAGGCCAAGGCAGGCATGGGGGGGAGGGAGGGCACAGGACAGCAAAGGAGGCAGCAAAGTGGCCAGAGCTATGGGAATCCCGTCCAGCTGTTTCCCAGCTGCGTGACCTCAGGCAGCGGCCGCACCTCTCTCTTTTCTCATCAGCAAAGGGGGCTCACTGCGGCCCCTCAGGCTGAGCTGGGCTCTTCCTTAACCGCAGCTTCAGAGCGGCAGGTGTGTTGATCTGCCTGCTAGAGTACCCGCGGGGTAAGAGGAGCAAGGGCTCCACCATGGAGAGGTGGTGAGTCGCCCCGCCCTGCCCTGGCGGCCTCCCCAGGAGCCGTAACCACGCGGGAGCCTGGTCCTGTCCCCAGCGCCAGCCCACTGGGTGTCTGCCCAGCCGCTGAGCCCCTGGGCCCCTGGGAGGAAGAGCCGGGCGCTCTGGGCGGGGGTGGGCGGTGGGGTGTGCTGAGCTGGACGCAGTCTGTCTCCCCTCCCTCCCTCTGCCTAGCGGACAGAAGTACCTGACCAGAGCGGTGAAGGTGTTCGGGCCCCTCACCAGCAATTACTACGTCCGGGCCTTCCTTCACCTTGGGTGAGTCTCTGCCCACTTGGGATCACCAGCACCGCCGGCAGAGGACTGCTGGGGTCAAGTTAGGCCCCTCCCGGGCTCTGCCAGAGGTTCCCTAAACCTGTATCTGTCATTACTTACAGGGTAATGATTCACCCCAGCCTGGTAGCTTAAGTCAGGAATAATCAGTGTTCTGGGGTTGACTGGGCTCAGCTGGGCGGTTCTGCTCAGCCGTCCCACAGTGAGTCTGGTGGTCGCCGCCGGGGAGACCGCCACGCGCAGCGCCCCTGCAGCTGCTTGGGCCTCCTCCCTGGGTGGCGGCGGGGGGCCCAGCGCCCTGCCCCTATGTCTGCCCGGTTTGCCCTGTGCAAACCAGGCAGAGAACAGCTCCGGGGCCGAAGTTAGAAGCCCAGCCTGGGCAGCAGTGGGCATCCCCTCCGCTCAAGGTCCTGGGGGCTTTGTCCTGAGATCCTGTGGTCTCTGACCAAGGCCTGGGGCTGCAGACCCCCCTTCTGACTGTCTTCCGTCCTCCACCCCCTCCCCAGGCTGTCGGTACCTGCCGGCTTCCTGCTCGCCACCATCCTGGGCACAGCCTGCTTGGCCATCGCAAGCAGCATCTACCTGCTGGTGAGTAGCGTCCTCCGGTCCTTGACAGCCTTGGCCCCGTGGCTGGCCCTGCAGGCCGAGCCCGTGTCCTTGCTCACGTCGTGGGGACAGTTCCAATGTAGCCTCCATTCTGGCCCATCTAACGTGCTGGCCGTTCCCCTACATCCTCTGTAACCTGCGCTGCAGCCCTGCGTGGTGGGAGGTGGGGCCCCCACTTCACAGACAAGCGGTGGAAGCTCAGAGAGGGGACGTGGCTGGCCCAGGTCACACAGCCGGCAGGCCCGGCCTGGACTGGGATCCGCTGCTCAAAGGTTTCTCATCCAGTTCGGGATGCCGTCAGGAGCTCGTGAGCAGGGCAGATGCCATGTGCAAAACCCTTGGGGCTGGGTTTGCCTGGAGTCCAGGTTCGTCCAGGGGCCCCTTGTCAGTGAGGCTGGGCAGGGCAGGGGGCGGTAGGGATGGGGCGGGGGCCCCACCAGGCGCAGGCTGCCGGATGCTCGCTGTTCTCCTGCGCGTGGTGCCCCTGACCCGCCGAGCCGCGGTTCCAGCCCCACCACGGCCACCAGCTTCAGTCAGGCCGACAGGGCCTGATGATTTCGACTTGATTGCTCCGCTGATGACGAGCTGGCCGCCGCCTCATTCGCTTCAGCTGTCTCAGTGCTTCTGCGCTGCCTGGTCAGACCTCTTGCCCATTTTCCTACGGGGGTTTTGTCTTTTTCTTGTTAGTTTGCAGGAGTGTCGTGTGTATTTTAATTGTGAATCCTTTGTAAGTTTTAGCCACTGTGGATACTTCCTCCTTCTCTATTAAGGATCTAACTTTGTCCGTGAATTCTTCACTGAGCAGAAGTCTGTCTGTCTAATATATTTATTTGCTTTATAGTTTGTGCTTTTTAAAAATGGCTTTTCCTGCCCGTAGGCCATATTTTCCTCCATTATTTTCCTTCAACTTTCTAGTTTTACCTTCTGGGATAGAGTGTTCTAGTTTGGTTTTTTTTTTCTCTTAATTAATTAATTTGTTGGCTGCGTCGGGTCTTCGTTGCTGCACACGGGCTTTCTGTAGTTGCAGAGAGCGGGGGCTACTCTTCGTTGTGGCTCACAGGCTCTAGGCGTGCGGGCTTCAGTAGTTGTGGTTCACGGGCTTTAGTAGTCGTGGCTCGTGGGCCTCAGTAGTTGTGGCACGAGGGCTCAGTAGTTGTGGCACGCGGGCTCTAGAGCACAGGCTCAGTAGTTGTGGTGCACGTGCTTAGTTGCTCCGCGGCATGTGGGATCTTGCCAGACCAGGGCCCGAACCCATGTCCCCTGCATTGGCAGGCGGATTCTTAACCACTGTGCCACCAGGGAAGCCCCAGTGTTCTAGTTTTTAACTTAGCAGGCGTGATTCTAGAAATTCACTTTATTCTTATGCTTCATAAAGTCTATGCTGTCACGTGTTTTTTGTATCAACTAATGTATTAGGGGAGACAAAATGAAAGATACACGTTCTCAGGTCCACTTGGCCTCTGGCCCTGGAGTCTGCATTTCAGCAAATTCCCTGGGCCGTGCACTCTTCCTCCTCAACACACCTGGGCCCCTGGCCTCCGTGGCCACCCTCCTGGGCCTCTCCCCACCCGCCTCCCCCAGAGCTGCCGGCCTCAGTTCAGCATCATGGCCACTCAGGCCTGGGCTTCTGGCCTGCTCCTGGCCCTTAGTCCCTGGGAAGAAGGCTGGCCTTGGGCTGTGCACCTGGAAGCTGCCTCCAGGGGATCTTTCAGGAGCCCCGGGGTTCAGCACCCCTCGCTCTTGTGGGGCCCCTTGTGTTGTGGTGAAATAGCTGGGTTCTGACTGTGTGGCCTCAGGCCTATCAAATAACCTCTCTGAGCTCCAGTCCCCTCAGGTCTCACTGAATTCGGTCGTGTCCTGGCTTCTGGCGGGGGTGGGGGAGTGCAGGGGCGGGGAGGCCGTATGGCGGGGCGGGGCGGCCTGGGAGGACCCCAGCCCAGCCCTTCCATGTCCTGCAGGCGGCTATCCACGGGGAGCACTGGACCCCCATCGAGACCAAGCCCAAGGAGCGGCCGCAGGTGGGGGGCACCATCAAGCAGCCACCCAGCAACCCCCCGCCCCGGCCACCAGCCGAGGCCCGCAAGAAGCCGAGTGAGGAGGAGGTGGCGGGGGTCCCTGTGGGTGGCCCCCAGGAAAACCCCATGCCGGTGACTGATGAGGTCGTGTGACCAGGGCCTCGAGCCACTCCCGTCCCGCCAAAGCTTCGAGGGCTTCTCCTGCAGACGGGTGGGGGTGGGCAGCCCCCAGCCCAGGGCACCCCCTTTTCTGCAGACTCCTTCAGGTTCACCGGCAACAGGGCTGTCATCTTCCTCACTGGCACTGGGATCTCAGTGCATCGCCTGTTCCATGAAACACGTATCTGGAATTCCAACTGTTTGTGTTTCTACGCTGGAAAAGAACGTCTCAGGTCTGGGGGGAGGGTGTGTGTGTCCTCCCAGCTCCCTGACCTGCTAGGACTCACCTGCTGCAGCACCCCTTGGACCACCCTGGGGCCAGTGTGCCGTGGGCAAGGTGCCCACTTGGGACTTCCGCTCCAGCCAGGTCCCAAAATTGTTACCAAACCAAACTCGGGTCTGCTCACCCCTGCACAGCAAAGCCAGTCTGCTGACATGCGTCGTGGTGAAGGCAGGTGCAGGGTTTACTGCAGGCACCAAGCAAGGAGTCCGGGCAGCTCGTGCTCAAAAGACCCCCCCCCAACTCCCTGGTGGCTTTCAGGGAAAGGCTTTTAAAGACAGAGGGAGGGAGGGAGGGAGGGTGGGGGAGTCATCAGCGGGTGAGTGAACCCAAAGTGGGTTCGGTTAACACGTACACACCCACACACCATACATGCCCCCGCGCACACACCGCACACACACCACAGTAGCCATGGCGGGCCCAGGAGCCCCTGTGGCCCCGAAGCTTTGCCTGGCTTCAGCTCACACCCCAGCCTGGGAAGCCCCTTCCTTCCCCGGCACCCACTCCCCCGAAGTCTGGAAAAGCCCTTAAATCGCTCGCCTCCTGCTCTCACACTTTCAGAGCTGGGGGTCTCTAGGGACCTCTGGCCTGGAGGGCACACTGCCTGTCAGCCAACACTCTTCGTCTTCAGCATAAATCCAGTCGGCCCACCGTTCCTCCGCCCCCACTCCCAGACCACTCCCAGCACTGCCCTGTCCCGCCCGGTGCCCGGCTCGGAGCCCACAGGCTCCCATAGCCCAGGACGGACACTGTCTCCGGCCCCCGCCCGCACCTGCTGTGGCCCTTGTCACCCCGTCCACTGGGCTCCAGCCACACTGCCCCCCGGGCACAGGCAGGCCACCTTCTCAGCCTCTGCACAGGCCATCCCCTCTGCCTGGAGCACTGGGCCCCGGATGGCCACTCAGGTGGTGCCCAGGTGGCCACCACTGCAGCCCCTCTCCCTTCCCTTATCCCTTCACCACCAACCGGCCCAGGGCTTCGCTGATGGGGCCGTGGTGGTCGGTCACCCACGGGGCAGGTGGGGAGCTATCCATTTTGTTCACAGCTCTGATCCCGGTCCTGGGCACAGGGCAGAAACTCAGTAAGTGCTGATTGAAGACTCCTTCCAAGCTCAAGATAAAGGTTACCTCCTCCGGTAGCCTTCTGAGACCCCTCCCCTCTTCCTGGACCTTACACACAGTAGGTGTCAATCAGCAGGTGAAAGTGGCAGGGGGGTGCAGACAACTGCCCTGCAGCCCCACAGCCCTTAGAGCTGACGTGCGTCACAGGTGTGGGGACTGAGGCTCCAAAGCGGGCATCGTAGCTGATCGAGAACTGCTGAGGCCACGCACTCCTGGGCCCCTAAACTCATTGCCCCGAAACGTGCTCTGAGCCAGGACCTTCTGTCGTGATAGGTCAGGTGGTTCTCAGGTGGCTGGCTGGGTGCCTGAGCTGGGAGGTGCCCGTTAGCTTGGCTGCCCCTCGTCTGGCAGGTCACCCGTGGTGGACAGAAGCCCAAGGGGGTTTCCAGAGCTGCCTGGGCCTCTGCTGGGGTTGGGGGAGCATGACTCAGCCAGGCTGCAGAGACATGTCCCCCTGAGCGGACCCCCGGGAAGTCACCCCAGGACACCTGTCCATGGGGTAGGGAGGTAGTCCCCAGGGGCCACACCCACGTCTGTGGGGAGAGGGCTGGGCTTTGGGAATGAGTCCCATCGCCAGACCCGGGAGCTACTGCATGGCCAGCGGGGCACACCTGGGCTCCACTCTGTTAAAACATAACCCCGCCCTGGGTGCACCTGGGTCCATGCATAGACCTTCCTAGAAGGACACACCACGATCTGGGCCAGTGGCTGCCCCTGGGGGACCAGCTGGGTGTTAACGACCAGGCAGCGTAGAGGGTGAGAGAGTGGCTTCACCCACTGCCCTCTGTGCCAGCCAGTGTTGTGCTCTGAGATACTGTTTAGCCGTGAGACAACGCGTATTCACGTGTAAAATAAATAGCTGTTTTAGAAACACAGGGGTGCTTGTTCCTCCCGGGGGGCTGGGGTGAGGGGAGCCCAGGAGGCCAGGAAGTGGAGGTGGCCATCAGAACACCTTTTCCCTTTTCTGTAGGTGTTTTAGCAAGTTCCAGAAGAGTGAGAATGTTCCTTCTAGCCCAGCTGTTTCTGTCAAAGGATAAACTGCCTCTCCAGCTGGGGGCTGCCCAGCACAGGGTCATCCCCCAGGCACCGGGGGCTGGGCCCTTCCCAGGCCAGGTCTCAAAGCAGAGGCCTGGAGCCTCGGTACCCGCCCAGGGCCCCAGGGTGGCACATAAATACCCGATAAATACACATAAATAGGAGGGGCGTCCCTGGAGGCCAGTCCAGGAGCCGAGCCAGTGATCACCGGGCCGACCTGGGCAGGACACAGGTGCAGCCCACGGGCACTTGGATGAACTCGGTGTGGAAGGTGAAGGCCCCGGGCGTGGGCACCCCCGCCGCATCCCGGGAGCAGGGCCGACGGCGCAGCACCAGGAGGCTCTGGACCAGCGGCACCGAGTTGAGCGCAGCCGTCTCGCGGCCTGTCTTGGCGCTGATGCAGCCCCGGCACAGGCACTCGGCGAAGGCCAGCTTCTGGGGGTAGCGGCTCTCGTCCGTGTCCACGCTGAGGGACAGGCGGGGTGTAAGCGAGCCCGGGCGGGCGCCCCCTTCCCTGCCCGCGGCTGCCCCATGCTCTCAGGGCGGCTCCGGGCCGCAGGGTGGGAGGTATGGGGCGCTGGGAGGGCTTGGCACGCAGCTGGTGCCCAGGAAGTGAGACTGTGCGTGTGCCCCACGGCCCTCCCAGAGCCCAGAAGCCCCCCTCTCTCCCTGCCAGTCCCAGCCCCACCCCTGCAAGAACTCAAATGGGGGCCCCCCAAATTTTCCCGGGGGACCCTGGTGTCTGAGGTCTGGGCTGAGGTCTGAGACACTGGGCGAGGACCAGCTCGCGGGGGAGCCTTGACCTCCCAGTGGTGGGGCGGGCCGGCCGGAGGTCAGCAGGTGAGAGCGCTGAGGCTCGGGGGGCCCAGGGGCCCGTGCCCAGAGAGGCCCGCTCTCACCGGTATCTCCAGGGCGAGATGGAGCGCTGGTGGACGTCAGCTTCCAGCACCTCCTCGGGCTGCAGCACGGGGCACTGGTTCCCGGCCGGCGATCCTGCGTGCCGGCCCCTGCGGCCCGCCGCCTCCAAGCTGGACACCAGCGCCACCGGCAACGCCTGCTCCCACTTGGCCGCTCGAGCCAGCAGGTGGGGAGGGGTGTGGCCCAGGGGCAGCTCCGCCGCCGAGTAGCAGCGCGGGGTCCCGGCTGTGTGGGTGCGGGCCCCTGGCCGGAGTGGGGGGCTGTGGAGAGCCAGGCTGGTGGGCGGCCAGAGCAGGAGCAGGAGGACACGGAGCGGCTGGTGGACCAGGCGGTGGGGGGTCAGCGGCGCCCCGGGGAGGGGCCCCGCCCTGCCCGCCGCGGGCTCTGCTCCCTGTGGAAAGCGGGCAGGGGGACGTAGCCTCCCTCTACAGGTCGGGAAACGGAGGCCCGGGGGGGTCTGGGCTCCTGGCTCCCTTTTGCCCCCAGATTTGGGCGGCTTCCTGGACCCTGCCGCCACGTCCTCAGCCTGGGTGTCGGGCGGCAGGCCGGGCGGCACCTTCCAGGCTGGAGGGCGGGGAGAGGAGCGGCTCACCATCGCAGCGGGGGCTGGGTTCCGGGCTCCGCGGCGGCGCACCTGGCGGTGCGGGCGGTTCCGGGCTCCGCGGCGGCGCACCCGTGGCTGCCCTGGCTGCAGCCGGCTTGCGGCGCCCTTTATACCCCGGGCCACGCCTGGGGAAAATCCGGCACCCTCCCTCCTCGGGAAGGGCCTGGCCTTGCTTCCTCCTCCCCTCCCTGCAACTGTCCCCTCCCCTCCAGGACAGGGTGGACCCAGTCGCCCTCCTCTCCCCCATCTCCAGGGACCCTACCCCAGGCCAAGCACTTGCCGATGGGGCTCAGAACGGTCTTTCCCGTGTGACAGGAACTCTCGAACCTTCTCCAAGTGCCAAGTCCTAACCCCTTGTACGTTTTTGCTGTCTGGACCTGGTGACCTGAGGCGAGAGCGTGCTCATTTTGCGCCACTGCCCAGTCCTCCCCCCAGGGCTGATTCTCCCGTCCCCTCCTCCTGCCACGTGGGGAGGTTCCAGAAGGGACCGGGCGGCTGGGGGCCAGCGAGCCCCTTCAGGATTCTCTGCTGGGCTTCTGTGGTTTCAGTCAACAAAAGTGCAAGTCTGAGGTGGAGGGGGTGGCAATGCCCTGGAACCTTTAAAGGGCAGGGTGCCCTAAGCAGCTTTCTAAGGAGGCCCCCGGAGCCCACCTGCACCAACTCCATGCTGCTGGTGAGGGTGCTGGGGTGCCTTCATTACCCTACAAGGGAGACGGTTTAGGGCCAGATCCTGCCAAGTTTTGAACGCTGAGGTTTGGATGCCATGCTGGCGAGGGCCTCTCGAATCAGGATAAAATGTCCCGCTGAGGAGGGCCTGGGCGTGCAGGATGGAGTCAACCTGCCTTCCGGGTTTCCTCACCTGCCGGCAGGAGCCAGAATGTCCATCACCAAGGGGCCCGTCTGACACTGGAGGCGCAGACTCGGTGGACAGGAGGACCCCTGAGAGGGGCATGGAGAAGGCAGTGGGACGCCGGGGCCCTCCCGGCCTCGGTCTGGAGGAAATGTTCCCACAGCGGGCATCGTGTCACGGCTGTTCTCCCAGCTTCTTTCTGACCGATGGATGGACAGACACATTGAGGCCCCAGGGCTGCTCCTGCCTACCACACCCCTGCCCGTGGCCATCCACCCTCTGCTTGCACACCTCCTGCGGCAGGGAGCTCACCACCTGTATTCATCTCCTGGGGCGGCCATAACAAAGTGCCCCAAAATGGGGGGCTTAAAACAACAGACGTTTATTCTCTCACAGTCTGGAAGCCAGAAGCCCCAAGTCAAAGTGTCAGCAGGGCTGGTTCCTTCTGGGGTCTCTGAGAGGGAATCCTTGCTGCCTCTCCCAGCCTCTGGCGGCTCCTGGCAATCCTTGGGGCCCCGGGCCGTAAACGCACCAGTGCAGCCTCTGCCTCACTCCCACATGGCCTCTCCCCATGTGTGTCTCTTGTCTCTGTACCTTCTACAGACATTCACCTACCCAGGGTGATCTCATCAAGAGCCTGACCTTAAGCACAGCTGCAGACCCTTCTCCCAGATAAAGGCACATTCTTCCCAGGCACTGGGGCTAGGCCCTCAACATAGGCTAGGCCCTCAACATAGTTTTGGGGGACACAATTGAGCCCCTTCCACCTTCCACCAGGACAGATGCTCAGGTCCAGAGAAAGACCCTTCTTAGGCTGAGGTGAGGCCCGCCTTATTGCAGGGCACCCAGGGCCTCAGAAATCCCAGTCCCTCCTGCCTCGGCCCCAAAGGTAGTGTGATCCCCTCCAGGGCAGGGACACCGTGCAGTGGACCTGCCCTGTCCCCAGGCGTGGAGCTGCCCTCGCAGAGTGAGGGGAGGGGGCACCCATGCCTGGCACTGGCCCCTGGGGGGGGGAATCCAAGGGGAAGTGTCCTTGCCTTCGTGGAGCTGGGGTCCCCCACAAAGGATCTTCAGAAGTGAAAGGCTCAGGGGTCCCTACGCCAAGGGGCTGAGCTTCAGCATTTTCTATGTCTTTGGGTGGGCAAGGCGGGGACAAACCCCGGGGCCGGGCCTCGCGCCTCCTTCCTCACTACAAGCTCGAGCTGTTTTGTGTGCATTGGTGGCCCGCCCGGCGTCAGAGTCCCCGGCACCCACGGAAGGACAGGGCGGAGCCCAGCAGTGCCTCATTCCTGCGGGCGGCTGAGGCAAGCACACCGGTACAGGGTTAGGCAATACTGGAAAGGCAGCTGCAGGAGGAAGGCTGGAGGGCGTCCTGGAGGAGGTGCCCTGGATGGCTCCGCCCCTCAAAGCACAACCACCACATCTCTGCCCCCAGACCACACCCATTCGACCAAGTTCCCAAGTCCCCCTGTCTGGAGAGATGCAGAAAGGGGACGGAGGGGCACAGAGAGGGGGTGGTGGTGGATGGAGGTAGGGGAGGAGGGATGGATGGAGACAGGCACAGAGATCTAGGGAGACTCAGACAAATGCAGAGACCACAGATGGAAGGCGGGGCAGAGAGAAAAGGACAGAGCCAGGGCAGGAAGGCAGAAACACAGGAACCACAGGGACACTCACCAGGGCCAGTCCCTCAGTGCCTCTGGGGTGGCCCTGCCTGTGGCTCGGAGCCCGAGCAGCCCAAGCGGGCCTGGGCTGGGGACGTGGCCTGCAGGAGGGGTTTGCTCCAGGCCCTGCCAGCTCCAGGCTCGAAGTTCTCCCCCGTCCTAGAGGGAAGCCCAGTGGCAGGCCGCAGTCCCGTCTGAAGTGGGGGTGGCAATACCCTCTCCCCCTTCCCTCCTGTGGCGTGGCCTTTTCGACCATGGGGCCCCAGGCAGTCCTGCCCACAGTCAACCTAGGACACAGCCCAGTTTTCTCGTGCTCCCCAAACTTTGCACTGTCGGGAACGACCCCTTCGCCTCACGCTTGTCCACGGCCCCTCAAGGGTGGCTGCCCGAGGCAGGGGTCCCTGCCCGCTGACCCAGGGCCTGAGCCCCCTCCCGCCCAGCTCCTCCTCCCGGTGGGGGCTGACGGGCCCGCAGGGGCTGAGGCGCTGGCTGAGCCGTCACGGGGGGAGCTGGACGGTTGGCAGAGAGCGAGAGGAGGGTGGAGGCCCAGGCCTTGAGGGAACCGGGGGCACAGGGCTGGCGCTGCGGGGAGGGGGCTGGCAGCGGCTGTAAGTCACCAGCAGGCGTACGAAACCCACAGGAACTTGATTTTCACTGAACTGAGCTGCCCACTAGTTCAACGTACTCACTCATGACGCTGGAGACGACACTTCACATTTGAGTTAGGAAAGTTACAAACTGAAAAAATGAAATCTTTTTTTTTCACCCGTTCAAGAGCGAGAGGAGGAGAGACGGGCACACTAGAAGCTGGCGGGTGCCTTGGCTGGGGAGGGCGGCCCGAGGGGTGTGGCTCCCCTTCCCTCAAGACGAGGAGGGTTAGTATGAGAAAACTCAGAAGGGCCGAGGCTGGGCTTTCTGCCTGTGCTTTACACTCGGGGAAAGCACACCAGAGTTTCCCCCGAGGAGGCCAGCTCCAGGGCAGCACTGGCGCAGCAGACAGGGGAAGGCATGAGGGGCCGGGGCAGGCCTGGCCTGAGCTGGGAGAGGAAGGGTGAGGTGCAGCTGGGTCACAGTTCAGGAACAGGGAGCAGTGCGTGCAAAGGCCCGGGGTGGGAAGGAGGAATGCAAACAGGCAGGGGAGGGGCTCTGTCGGGGTCTGCAGCTGTGGAGGAGGAGGGCTGGAGGGAGGGGCAGGGGTCAGTAGGCAGAAAAGAAGCTTGAGGAACTGGGAATCACTCCCACCTTTGCATATTAACCGCCTGGCAGGGCCTCAGCCCTCACGTCCCCTGGGGGGCAAAGATGCTGAGAACCCATTACAGCACAGAGCCTCCCTTTTCCCACACGCCTGGCCTGGACTGTTCTTTCCACTAGACCTGGGGGAGAGCTGGCTCGGGGTGTGACTCTCACCCCTCCCAGGACACACCCCTGCCCCCAGATGGCAAAGGGCAAGCTGCTAGTTTAAACCCAGCTCCGGTCCAGGGAACCCAGGGCTGTAGATGCAGCCCAGGCGTGGGAAGCCAGGTCAGCCCAGCCCTTTGGCACAGGAGCTGGCTGGTCAGCCGGGCCAGGGGGGCAGCGTGCTGACACCTGCGTGGGGGACTCGCTCACCTGCGGGCTCCTGGCTTCAGAGGCCATCACTGCTCGGCTGGCTCGTGGGGCCCAGCGGCTGGGGTGCAGAATGCAGGGACAGGCTGTCACCCAAGGTGTCGTGGATTCTGGCTCTGTGTCCTTGAAGGCCGCCCTTCAGAGAATGGGAGTTCCCTCTGCACCTGGCTTTGACCCGAGGGCAAATCAGATAAGTCTTGAGAAATTGCCCAGACACAGTATTGAGGCTGGTGATGCAAGAAGCAGCCCGTGTGCTGTGCTGTGGGGCGGGCGTGGACTGCACTGCAAACAGGGCACGCAGGAGGCCCCGCGGCCTGGCACTGGCTCCTGGCCGGCTCTCCTGGCCCACAGGTCAGTGGCTATGCAGCCTTGGGACAGAGCAGCCGGTAACTGAGGTAACTGAACGTAGCCTCCTGACAGCCCACAACAGGGCTCTGGGAGGCATGTCGCCTGCAAGGACTCACAGAACTTGGTTTAAAGTAAGTCACCCGAGAGCAGAGGTGCCGATGGGGGGACTGGGCGGGGGCACTCCCAGGCCCCAGCACCACTCTGCAAGTTCAAGCCACGAGAAAGGGCCCCCCCTCCAGTGGCCTTGGTCCTGCCGGGAGGAGGGCAGGGGCTCAGGAGGGCACTGCGGGCGGTGACTCTCAGACTCGACGACAGCCTCTCCCAGCCTGCAGTGAGTGAGACGGCACCGTGGTCCTGGCCGGGGTGTCTCAGGCTCAGATACCTGCATGTCCGAGTGGGGTCCAACTGTGCGTTGAGGCACTGAGTGGAGAACTGGCTTTCGGGCTGGGGTCACCTCTCTGGCTCAGGGCCCGCTGCTGGGGAAGGTGGGCTCTCGCTCAGGCGGAGATCTCGGTGTTCAGGAAGCCCTGCCAGGCCAGCCCCCGCGAGGAAACCAAGGTGAGCGCTCCACGGGGTGGGGCCTCCTTCAGCCAGCAGCCCCGTGGGCATTGCCAAGCGGAGGGCCGAGGCGGGGGCCCAGGCACAGGCAAACATCACCACCAGGGCAAGACAGCTGTTTATCAAAATATTTTATTTTAGGAGACCCCTCAAAAAAAGACCCTCCACATCTGACAGATGCCCAACAATACCCTCGGCCTTTTTTTTTTGGTCTTTTCTGTATTTTTTTTTTTCCTTTTTAAATCAACTAAAACAATTTGATGCTTAAAATAAAAGACAGGAGTATTTCCCAATCAGACTTTAGTCAAGAATATATATATACTTTTTGATCCTGGGGACGCAGGGGCGGGGAGGACACTCGGCAGACTTGGTGTTCCTGGCGACAGTAGGAGGGCGGGTGCCGAGGGCGCGACCGACGGGTGGTGAGGACGCCTGACTGACGAGCAGAGGGAGGACTCATCATTTACATAAAATCGAGCCGGTCCTCACCGCGCTGCCGCCTGCCCAGCCGGCTCGCCGGACTTCTGCTCTGGGAAAGGGCTGCTTCAGTCTGGGATTCAGCGTCATCTTCGTTACGTGTGTGGCTTCTTTTCCAGCTGAGAAACTTTTTTTTTTTTTTTTTTTAATTTTTAAAAAGAATCACAGCCAAAATAAGACATTAACTGCAAAATCCAAAATGGCTGCGCTTACCCTATTTATAAAAACAAGTGAGTCTCTGCCTTGGGGAGCAGAGCCCGGGCTACACCTTCCCGGGGATTTTGGCCCGCTTGCGGGCAATGGCGTCCTCCACGGCCTTCAGCTGCTTCAGCAGCTCCTCCCGCCGGGACAGCGTGCTGGCCTTCCCTGACTTGGTGCCCGTGGACGCGCCGGCGGCAGCACTGGTATCCGAGGCTTTGCCGGGCACACTGGTGACCTTGCTGGAGCTCTTGGACTGGGGGGACAACGGGCGCTTCCTGTGGGGGTGGGGAGGCAGTCAGAGGGGTGGAGGGCCTCTCTATGAGCCTCCTGCCAGGGGCCTGGACCCCAGGAGCTGTACCTACCAGGTGGAAGGCGCCCCTCCCCACTGGACGAGGCCCCCCACGATGGGTAAGCGTGTGGGGCCCAGCCTGGCCTCCTGCCCCCAGCCCGGATTCTGGCCACAGTCGAGGTGGCCTCCCCACGCCGCTCCCACGCCCCCAATCGTGGAGCAGAGACTGCGCGGGTGAAGGGGCACAGCATCAGGGCTTGCCTGGAGCCATGCTATCCCGCCCTCCTACTCTGGTCCTCGTACGCACCCTGCTCTGTGCTGACGTGAAACCCCACACTGCTGACCCCGGCCTCAAGCCGCGCTGTGGGCCGAGGGCCGGGGGCTGTGCCCACCCTCCCCGCGGCCCCTCCCACCTGGCCCTCGACCCAAAGCCAGGGGTGCAGGTGTGCAGAGACTCAGCCCACTTCCTGGGAAAAGGGGATCCGTGCCCCTACTTCCTGTGCCTGACGTGGGAGGGAGGGGAAGGGGTACCACCATCTGGGTCCTGGTCCCCTGGCCGGGGCCGCGCGCTCAGGGCCGCTCCTCACTCTAGGACCCACTGGTGGGGCAGAGTTCAGACACGGGCCGGACCGCCCTCTTGCCTCTGGATCTGAGCCACGGGCCACATCCCCGCTGCCTCTGAGCCTGCCCCTGGCTAGTGATGCTGGCCTCCACCTGGGGAGGGAAACTGCGCCAGCCCTCTGTGTGGCGAAGGGGCCGGCGCGCTGTGCCCAGGGCACGGGGGCCGGGGGGAGACACCCACCTGTCTGTCGGGGCCGCAGGGGCCTTGGAATTCTGGCCCCTCTGCCGCTCTGGCTTCGGGGAGCTGAGCCTCCCACCTGACTTCCGGTCCCGAGAACCTGGGTGACAGAGGACAGGTAAGACAAGGGTCCCAGTTCCACACGGGGCCAGCTGCGCAGGGGCTGGTGTGCTCAGACAGGGATGGGGTGGCCCCTCTGGCCCCCGGTGACCCCATGCCACAAAGCTCAGTTCGGCTTCCTCATTTTCACAGAAAGACGTAAGGAGCAGAGCCAGTGAGAAAAGGAAAAGGGGAGGATGGATTACACTGGAAAATGAAGCCCCAGAAAAACACGGAAGCCGAGGTCTAATTTCGGTTCTGGTTTCCCGAGCCAGCATCAAAACAGGCCACCGAGCTCTGAGCGTCCAACTCCAAGCAGACAAAAACCTCCTTCCGTGCCTTGAAGAAACTCACGGTGAGGGGCTTCAAATGGGGAACAAAAAGGCACGGCAGCTTAAAAACTACAAGCAAAACCAGGAACGGGAAGGAGTGCTTCCTGTCGTGCGAGTGCGGGGCCCTGAGCGAGGGCAGGCGGAGGGGATCCCGCCCCGCAGAGGCGTGCAGGCGGCCCCGGGGGGTGTGCTTCAGGGGCCGGGCGGTGTCCACCTCCTGCTCCTGGTGGGGTTCACGGGACCTCTCCATTTTAAGGGGGAAAGACGGCTTGGAAACACTCAGGCTTTTGCTTTACTAGTTAGAGCCAGTCAGGAAGAGGCTCTGCCTGGGCCAGTGGTTCTCTAGGTGCGGCCGAGCACCGCCGGGGCAGCAGTCAGGTGCGCCCCGCGACATCGAGATGCTGCCCGCCCTCCGCATGCTCACGGCCTCACAAGCCCGGGTGGGGTTTTCCAGAGGCCGAGTGATTTGTGTGACCAGAAGAGATGGGATCCCAGCCATAAGAGGGTTGTAAAAAACCAAAGACCAATGCCACTCCTACTAACGTCTGTTTTGGAAGATACAGTTTTTTTCTATGAAAAATCTTACCCATGTTATATTTAAAGTTAAGTATTATATATACTTTTAACTTCCAAAACTATCAATGTCGATAGACACGACCCACTCAATCAGAAGCACGACCCACTCAATCAGAAGTCCCTGAGGCCCTCGAGACTTTTCAAGGGTGAATGGGGCGCCGGCTCCAGACGTGGGAGGCTCACCTCGGTCCGGGGAGAGGTTGGCCCGCTTGGCTGGAGGTGGGCTCTGCCTGTCCTTGTCCGAGGGCTCGTAGCGCTTCCTGCCCCCTTTATCAGCAGCCTGGAATGACGGGGTGTTTGTGAGGAGGACCAGGGCCTGAGCGAACACAGGCCCTGCAGCAGGCGGCCACCTGCTCTCCGCCGCTGCAGGCACTCCTCTGGGGCTCCTGCGCCACGTGGCCCCAAGGGGGGCAGGGCCCACGGTCTCGAGGCCTCCACGCCAGGGGTGGGACTCAGGCCTTCCGGTCTCTCAGGGCATCGCGGATGTCAACTTAGAGGCCAAGTCTGCTTTGCTCCCTGCCCCAGGTCCCAGGGCTGCCGTGTGGGAACCGGCCCGTCTCCCATCTACCCTGTGCCCACAGGCACTGCCCACAGGGCTGGCCACGAGGGCAGGACGAAACGGGTGACGTGGAGAGCCGCCTGCTGGCCCGGCCCTGGGCCTCAGAGCCCCAGCAGCACCGCCCACGGCCTCACCTTGTTCAGCAGAGTCAACTTGATCTCCTTGTGGGCGATGAACGTGGCCGGTGGGGGCTGGCCGGGCGGCGCCTGCTGGGGGGTCGTGGGCTGCTGGGAGGACCTGCCGCCCGCGGGGGTTCTCGAGGGTTTGGGCGGCTGCGTGGACGGATCCCGCTTCCGCTTATCTGCTTTCACGCCGTCTTCTTTCTTAGACTTTCCTGCCCGTGAGAAACGCCCATCAGAGCCTCTGTTCCGCTGAGGCGGCCGCCCGCGTGCCGTCTGGGGGAGGCGTCATCACTGGCAGCGTGGGGCCGCTGCACGCCCCCTCCCCTGCACACAGGCTCTACCTTTCTCCTTCTTGGTCTGGGCTGGGGTGGGGGACCGCGAGCTAGCCGAGGACACGGGGCTTGCCAGGTCCGCATACATGTCGTCCGAGTCCACGCTGTGCGCTGAGCTGCTGCTCGACGTGGCGCTGGACACGGAGGAGACGCTGCTCACGCTCAGGGACCTGCACGCACAAGCATGTCTGCACCGCGGCCCCAGCCCGAGACCCGATTCCTGTTCCCAGGGAAGGGGAACCCACCCAGCCCGAGATGTGGGGGGCTCTGGGCACTCTATAGGTGCCGCCCAGGGAGGGGACGCCCACGTGGCTGTGGCCAGGCCCTCGTGCTCACAGGCGACTGTGCTGTTAGCTGGGCAGGGACACACGGCTGACTGTGACCAAGAGCTGGACACCCACCCTGGCGGCGGGGCACAACAGAGGGCGGACATGGGCCACAGCGCGAGCAGACGCGGTGCCAGACAACCCAACGGGCCGCTCAGGAGGCGCCGAACGTGGCCGATCTCCTGGGCCCTCACAGCCCAGGCTCCACAGGGACTCCCGCCCTCTGAGAAAACCGGCAGCACTGCGTCCTAAGGTGTGTGGAGGCTGCAACAGGGAAGGGAAGAGCCCAGCCTTTTGGAAAGGTTTGCTCTTTAACACACCCCAGACCTACTCTGCCAGCTCTGGGCAAATGTATATACACCACCTGCTGCCTGCAAATGAAGGAGGAAAGCGGCTTCAAGGACCCTAAGGACTGACCCGATGCCGCCTGCTCTCTGAACAACTAGACGGCAGCATTCTCTTCTGCTAGCTCTTTCCTCAGATCTTTTCGATCGGCCGCCCCCAGCTGCCTCAGCCCGTTACCCCCTCCTCGCCGGAGCGGCTCGGGAACAGCTCCTCGGACCCACGGTGCCGCCACCCGAGGGAGGAGGGTGCTCACACCTAACGTGGCCTCTCCCGGGGTTCCCTGGACCCTGACTGGGGGGACAGAGGCAGATGCCGATGGGACTGGGGCCAGAGAGACGTGATAATGACCTGGATCTGGAACTAGAACCGCTGTAGCTGCTGCCGCTGCCGCTGCCGCTGACAGTCCGCCTACAACACAACCAAGAGCCCAGCTGCTCACGTTTCTGTGGCCTTGACACGCGGGTGCTCCTCCAAGCCGGGGCTCGCTGGCCTGAGACCAACGCGCCCCCAGTGACTCGCCACCGACCGGGCAGTGGGCGGGGCTCTGATTCCCTCAAAGTGAGCCAACCACAGCCCTGGCCAGCTCCGCTCACGCTGTGCATCCCGCACGGGGGAGCTTGGCACCGAGGGAGCACCCGGGCCCCTCGCAGCCATCGAGCTGCTGGGGACACCGAGGCTCGGCGACGTGCCGCGGTCCTTGGCCTCCGCTGCCTGCGAGCACCCCTCCGCCAGCCCTGGAAGGCCGGGGCACTCACCTCCTGGGCGGGCTCCTGGCCTGCCGCTCCCTCCTCCTGGCTTCCCGAAGGTCTCCGGGCTTGGTGGGCTCGGGGGCAGGAGCGGTGGCTTTGGGGGCCTGCGGTGGGGCTGGAGGTGGGGCTGGCTTCTTCAGCAGCTTCTCTCTGTGACGTGGGACAGAAGGAGGGTCAGACCTGGCTGGGCAGGCGGAGGCGGCCCTGCCGGCCGACCTCGGGGCGCGTGCAGTGCATGCGCACACTCCCCTGTGAGGAGCTGTTTCCCGCGGACCCCCACCCCACACTGAGCATCCCATGGCCTCCCCCTCCAAGAAAGGACAGGGAGGAAGACGGGGCCGGCTGAAGAGTCCCGGAGCGGTGCCGAGAGCTGGGCTGTGCTCCCTCAGTAATTGGGGACCCCAGGGGAGTCGGGAAAATGGCCCCCAAGCTGTTCTTCACCGTTGCGTGGGGAAGATACCCTGCCAGTTTGTTAAGCGCCCTGAACACGCACAGTGCAGATGGGCCACAGAGCAGACCCTGCCAGCAACGCTGACGCCAGCAGGAAGCAGAGTCTGCGTTAGAGGAAGCTGCTCAGCACAGCAGCAGGGCTGAATCCAAGCCCGTGCCGACCAGGAGGCAGACCCGCACTTACCCCGCCCGACGCCATCTGCGTGAAGCCTGGGGACCCGAAGCGCCTGCACTGTGCTCGGGGTCCCCCCACAACAGTACAGTTCAGGTGGGTGCGGTGCCTGGGGCCTAAGTCATACGCCAACACCGTTCCCTTTCTAACAGTGAGCCGCCCAGGACTCCCTAAGCCTGAGGCCCGGGAGCCGACCCCGTTCAGGAGGAAAACCTGCCATGGGGGCTGGGGCCAGACGCGCGTGGGGACGGCCAACATCAGGACGGGCCTCGCGCCTGGCAGAGCCGCAGGAGTGGAGCGTGCTCTCACCCGGCGGACCGTGCACCCCAACCCTGCACTCCAGGTATTGTGAGGTTTGTGTGCTAAGTCCTAGATGCTTCTACCCCTCCCGCCGTCACATCTGTTGAGAGGGATCGATGTGACCAGTCCCAGGAGCAGCAGAGAAGGTGAGGACGGCAGGGCTGAGGCTGCCACGGACACAGCCAGGGCCGAGCACAGCAGGTCCCCAGGGCGAGGGGCCCTCACGTGCCGCACTGGCTCCTGACAAGTGAGGCTCCAGCACCAGAGTGAGCACGCTGGAGCACGGATGTCCTGGCCCACAGCCAGGAAGCGCGAGGCCAGGCCTACGCCCTGCGCCCCTGCCCACTTCCCGGGGCGCCGCAGCACTCACCCTGCTTTTGCGGGAGGCGGAGCCGGCTCCCCCTTGGTTCTGACAGGTCTGTGCGGCGAGGGCGTCGGGGACGGGGACGGGGACGAGGAGAAGGACCGGGACCTATAGGGAGTGAACCAAGGTGAGAGGAGGCGCTCCGCCCGGCCGCACCCCCGCAGGGGCTACCGCTCAGCCTCGGACAGGTCTCGGTCATCTCCTCAGATGCATGTCACGGGGAAAAGAGGTGCCAAGGGGCAGGCAGCACCCCATCAGCCATCACCTGGGAGCCGGCGGGGAGGCCCTGGGACAGTCGGCGGGGCTCGCAAACACAACCTGAGGGGAAGGTTAAGTAGCGAAGAAAGCGCCCCCGACTTTGTGAGAACGGCTCAGCCGTATACAGACCACACACAGGGCCTTCTTCCGTCTGTCTCCGTGTCACCCAGTGCTCACAGAGGGGAGACTCAGGTAAGCCCCCCACACCCTGGATTTCCAGAACCCCCCAATTTATCAGCTGGGTTCCAGGCTTCTTCCCCACAGCTCAACAGCCTTATTTTTCACGTGAAACCACAGAAGGCTTCTCCTGCCACTGATGATCGGTATCTTCGCTGTCTCCCTCTCAGCCTCCTACAGGCAGCCTTCCCCTGGACACCCAGGCACTGCTTACACTCCTGGCAGGACGGCCGTGAGGCCCAGTGCCCACAGCTGGCCCTCTGGATACCCTTAACAAAAGGCTGGCTTTCCTTTCTCACAGCTGTCACTCAGCACAAGATGACATTCAGCAAAGGCAGACCCAGCTGTCATCTAAGTCCACGAACACAAGAACGTGGCCTTCAGACGCGACAGCTTCAATGATCTCCTTGTGCTGCTCCCACCCGCTCTACGCTGTCCTAGGGTGAGACAGCCTGCCAGGAAGGGGCGCCACTGGGGGCCACAGACCCTGCAGGAGGACCCATCAGTTTACCCAAGAACACTTTGTGACGTGCTCCCCAGGGAAGCGGGGGGCACGTGTGTCTGTGTGGGTCTGTGCGTGGTGGGCATGTGAGCGCGTAGGGGTGGGTCCACGCCCTGCTGCGGCCCCTGGGAGAGCTGCGCCTGTCTGCGACCGCGGAGACAGAGCCACACAGGCGGCCCCCTCCACTCGCAGCCTCCCTCTGGTCCCAGACCTGTCCTGGGTGCGGCCCCACCTGCGCGTCTCAGGCTGGCAGGAGGCAGAGAGGGCGGGGGAGTGACTCTGGGTCCGTGTGCAGGTGGCACCGGGGGCGGAGGCGCACACGGCAGCCTGCACTTGTTGAAAAGGCTGAAGAGGCAAAAACGGGGTCAGTGTTTCCTATTCCTCATGCGAACCAGTGACTCCTCCCACCCAGGCGATGACCAGAAATTCTCTAACGTTCCAAGCAGTCTGCCTATTTTCAGTGGGGAAATACTCCCGACCCTTCTGGAATAGGGCAGTAGCACCTTCTGTGAAGATGCAAACATTCTGTATCTGAGCCCCCCAAACAGGCGTTGCGCACACTCCAAAATGCTAGTGTGCTGGAACGTGACCCACCACGTGGGCCAGTGCAGGTCCACAGGAGGCCACCCGAGCTGGCGCTGACCCCGTGGCTGCCTCGTCTGTGCTGTGAGCACAGCCCAACGTCGGTGTGGCCTGTGAGCCCTGACGTGCACCCGTGTTGGTTCCTCAGCCCCTCGCTGTGTGTTCTTCAGAATTCACCAGACACCTAACCTAGCGAGACTCCTCCTCAAGCAATGAGGACCTGGAGGCCCCCGTCAAAGCAGAAAGCTGCCGTCACGCAGGAACCCGGATGAGCCGGCATTGTCCACACCTGCTGGGCCCCAGGGACGCACCTGGAGCGGCTGCCTGAGAACGAGCTGTGTCTGGAAGAGCGGCTGGAGTAGGAGCTGTAGGACGAGGACCGGGACCGGGACCGGGAGGAGCCGGAGCCAGAGTAGGAGGACGACCGCGATGACGACCTGCAGCCCAGGGGAGAAGAGAAGGCAGGGTCTCCTTCCGCCCGCCCCGGCTCGCACACACATGCCCGCCCTCTGGCTGCCTCGCGGACAGACGCTGCTCTCCAGTCCCCTGGCTCGTGGGAATGGTGCTTAGAAAGTAAGACCTGGGTGCTGGGTGTGCTCACTGTCACCGGTGACACAGCTCCCAGGCCCTCGGGGGACAGAGCCAGGATACGTGTGCCCGTGTGTGTAGGTGAGTGTGTCTGACCCGGGCGGACACACGCGTGTGCATCTGTGTGTCCACCAGTGCAGGCAGTGGAAACCCTGAGTCCACAGACACGTCCAGGCCCCGTCCACCTCCGCAGGCCCCTCCTGGCCCTCTTAAGGGAGAGCCCCCGCTCTCACCGCCCGCAGCATCCTCACTTGTTTGTGCAGACCTACTACACACACAGATTTCACAGCTGCTGACCCAAACTCAGAGGCGACAGGTGGACCGACTAGACACTGGGGCCAGGCTGCTCTTCTGGTCTTCCGCCCAGCAGCGTCTCTCCCCACGCTGCCCCTGCCCAGGTCTGTGCTCCACTCTGGGCGGCCTGCACCCGGCTGACACGGCTCCGGGGGGTATGGGAAGCCCCACCAGGGTGAAGTGTCAGTCCTGTCAGCCAGCGAGGCTCTGGAACCCAGCCACGCCACAGCCCCGCGGAGCACAGACGCCGCTCGGTCCCGCTGGCCTCCCTGCCTCCTTACCTGGAGGAATTAGACGCAGAGGCCGACGAGGCTGACGTTTTTCGACGTCGTCGTGCCCGGCTAGGGGAGACCGATACCCCAAGTTTCTTCTTGGGAGACTTGGACCGGCGCCAGGGGTCCTTCCACTCGTCGGCTCTCTTCACCTGGGGCCCGGCAGAGGCCGTCTCCTTCTTTGGTGGCTCAGCCTGACGGCTGAAATCACAGAGGGGTTAGCAGGTCTAGGGCCACCTCCCGGCAGACAGCAATGCCGTTTGGTGAAAGAAACTGAGTCAGAGGAGAGACTGTGACCTAACGGCTCACTCCAGGAACGCCGGACACACAGGGCAGCAGGTGCTCTGTCTATGGGAGACCTCACCTGGAACCAGACACGCGGGGCTCTCTCCACGAGCGGTGCCTTCCAGGGCAGCAGGGTAGCTGGCCATCCCGCGCCATCCTCCCCCAGAACCCCCGCCTTCCCCGCTGCATGGGCTCCGGGAGCACAGGGAGGAAGGGGCCTGGCACGTTCTCTCTAGAGCTGGTGCACAGTGGCCGCACACCAGCACTTAGGAAGCTCAAGGGATTGAGGAACTCCTTGTCTGCAAACGAGTTAAACCCAAGCCTTACACATTTCCTTTGTCCTCTTAGGTTTAACTCACTGAAAGAACATCGTTTCCCAGCGAGAGGGACGAGAGCAGGACAGGTCAACGCTGTGACGAAGAGCATCAGGACTGAGGGCCAGCGGGCTGGTGACAGCAGGACCTGCTGGGCCCCGTGAGCAAGCCACCGCCACGCGGACTCCCCACGTGCTCACCACCAGCCGGGAACGCAACAAGGCCAAACCGCGCAGGGGAGTGGGAGCAGGGGCCCGGCAGCAGCTCAGCACTGGAGACAAGGCTCAGCTCCAAGCCAGGGTGCCCTGCACCCCACACCAAAGCACCCCTGCTCTACGGGGAGCCAGAGCACAGGGTCCCAGAACAGTTCAGTATGAAGGTTATCTGCTGGCCCTGTGATGTTCACTAATTAAAAAGTCACACAGAAAGTAAAAACAGAGAAATAAAAACCCCAGGATCTCGCTCTCTGGGGTCAGCCACCATTTAGCACCTCTGAATTTCCTCTCTGCCTCTATTTCATTCCCCGCGATGAACCCTGGAAGCACAGCTGAGACCACCTGGGGACTGCTCCACCCGGAGCTGGCCTCCCTGATGGTGCAGGAGTTCACTGTCAGGTGCTATGTAATTTAGACATTTCTCTACGGTTAGCTGTTTCTGTGTTTAAAAAACACAAAAGAACAAGAAAATCACCCTTTATATAAATCTTTATGGGCATCATGTTTCTCCAAGGGCAAACTCCTAAGATGGGGAATCAGTGGGCCAAAGGAGGAGAGCGTTTAACAGGTTCTTGGTAACTGTCACACGCTCCCTGCACGTGAAGCAGCTTGCACTCAGCACGGCGGGGGTGCCTGCTTTCCCTCCCTCTCATCAATTCTGGGCTCCCGTGTAACCGGTGGGGGGCGCCACAGCGCAGCCGACGCAAAAGTAAACCTGAGCCCTGGCTGCTCCGCGCACAGAAATGGGCTCCCATCTGTGCAGCGGCACCTGGCGGCGGGGAGGCCACCTGAGCTCTGGTTGTGTCTTGTTCTTGGCCAGTTTCCTGGGATCGCTTTTGCGTCCTGTATTTCTCCCAGGCCATTGGCTTTCACTTGCGCCGGTGGTGCTAATGCTTGTTACAAGTGTAACAGCTTCTTCCAGGCTCACAGAGCTTTCTCCATTCTAAGCCACACTCGCTTCTACCTGCTCTAGACCTGCTGTCTATTTTAACCCCCTGGTGCACGTTCCTGCCCACTATCCCGCAGGCCAGTGGACCCACTTCCGTTCCAGAATGGCTTGTGGGCGATGCCGTCTCTGGGGCATATACATTCTTACTCCGAGAGGCTGTGCTCTCCCATTACTCTGTCTTCTCCTATTCTAGAATCTTGTCTGCACACAGGACCACAGCGTTGTCACAATTCTAGATACTCTCAATTTTCAGAGGGTTCTGGGCGTGTCCTGTCCGTTGACCTAAAGAACAAGGTAGCGGTGCCTGTCAGCCCTGCCCCCAACCTGCTGGGCTTTGGGTTAGAGCACTGTCAGACTTAAGAACTGTGTCTTGCCTTCGACTCCCACCTTCTATGGGTGCCAACAAAACATCACAGTTTTATTCAAAAATGGTCCTGCCTTTTGGGACTAGAGTTTTAGAATTACATACATTTTGTATCACCAGCATCTACTTACATTACGTCATAACATACAACAACGAACACCTGTTGATATTTTCAGCACTTTTCAATCAATCCACCAACGAGCAAGCTCTACGCCTACTATTTGCTAAGAGTCCCACCCCAGGAACAACACCCAACATTTAAAATCGCCCCAAGGACACACGAAACTGAGGCATAAGATCCCTATAGTCTCAGCCGCAAATGCTGAGCGCCACTGCCCCATCAGCTCCTCAGTGAGTCCTCCTGGAAGTGTCCAGGAAGGGAGTGAAACCCGCCTGATGACTGGCCTGGCCCGGGCCATCCCAAGCAGCTTTCACCCTTACACTTCCTGTGTTGTTCTCATTCTAAAAATGCAACAGAAAGCGGAACACCTTGATCACTAGGTTTTTCATAAGTCATCAGAATGGCCCAGCTCTGTCAACCTGTGGCTCTTCTAACACAGGGAGAAACAGACAGAAGCCAACGGTGTGATTCACGATGCAGCCAGGTCAGTTCGGAGTGTCAACAGAGTTCATGAACAATCCTGTTTTGGGAAACTGTTCCTATATTACTGGGGAAGGGCGGGGAAGAGGCAGAGCAGGTCAGCTCCCAACTCAGGCATCGGGGGAGCCGTGACAGAGGATGGGGCCTAGGTCGGTACCCATGACACGCAGCCTGTCCCTCTGCTTTCTGACAACACCCCAGAGGAGAGCCAAAAGAAACCTGGAAAGCCTGGCAGCCAGACAAGCAACTATACTGGACTGCAGTAAAGAGCAGGCGTGCCAGGCTCTCCCCACGGGCCAGCCACCGAAGGCCGGCGCACGGGCCGCTCCACGACGGGAAGCTGGGGATGCACGGGAGGAAACCCGAGGGAGCGGGGACAGCTGGGAGGGGGACGACTGCCAGCCACGCTGGCATCGAAAACTGACAGAACAGATCTGGAATTTGCATTCTGAACAGAGAGGGGGAAACACCCTCTAGGGATCTCCGAGCAGCCCACCCCACCATGGCCACACGACAATCTTATCTTCCAGGCACCTGACCCTTTGTTCAAGGCCACAAGAGAGGGACTCTGAGGAGAAAGGGCCCCCGAGGCCCCGTGCGATGCCAGGGCAGAGGTGAGAGGCACGGCAGGCCACAGCGAGGGTGTCTGCAGACTCCAGCCTGAGCAGCAAGCCCAGTTTGGGGTCAAAGAAAAGATAAAAAGGAGGAAGGTTCTCTTCTAAGATGGAAGGGTGAAAGAGTGGGAGAGGCACAGGGAGAGGGAACGGGCAGCACCCGGGTGGCTTCTTCCCGACTGGACTCGCTCACGCCTCCCGAGGGCCTTCTCTCAGCCCTTCCCCTCGAAGCTGCTGGCCTCCCAAGCGCTGGACGATGTCGCCCCGGGGCCCGGTGGACGTGGAGCCGGCTCCCAGGGCCCCAGCCAGGACGGCCATCAGCCTGCATGACCTGCCCGGCTGTCAGCAGCCCTCCTCCAGCCTCCGCCAGGCTGGCGGCACCCAGGGTCCCGCACGCAGATGAAAAGGGGACGGAAGAGGCCCCGTTACTCACGCTCCTGCCCCCTCACTCCTACTCAGTTTCCCCAGGGGGCCTGGGAAGGTGAGGGCAGTGCCCAGTGAGTGGCACCTGGGACCACAGGCCTCTTGCTTTAATCCTCAGATATTGAAAACATACTTCAACTCCGACGCGAGGTTGGACTTCAATTTGTGGGCGGGGTCGTGAAAACTTTGTTTCCAAGGTGAGGCCCCATCATTCCCAAGCCCACTCCCAAGCCGCCTTCCGTTCTGTGCTGACCCCAGGCCCCATGGCGTTCCCACTGTGAAGTGCAGCCACGGCCTGACTGCTTTCATATCCACCTGCAACCTGCACGTCTGTAGTTAGGTCAGAACACGTGAGAGACCATGAGTCTTTCCACCTTCTCAGTCGGGCAGTCTCTGTAATTCAGTGCGTTAGGCACGAAGTTAAAACACAGGTACACCTTTCCTCGAAAACACCCCGGGCACGGTGACTCTCTCAGAGCAGGTCAGCAGGTAAGCCGTGACCAGGATAGATTGGGATGAGATGAGAACGATAAAGAAAGGTTTCCTGAGCTCTCAGGGAGCGTCTTTCTTGCTAACAGAAAGGTCAGTGCCGGGGACCTAATCCTTAAGCACGAGGCCCGAGACAGAGTGGAGTGGGAGGTGCCGGGGGACAGCGCGGCAGGGGTCCAGAGCGAGCGTCTGACACCCTCGAGTTAGCAAAGGCAGGCGACACCACCACGGGGGTCTACACAGATCACAGCTCGTGGTGTTCAAATTCCTGAAAGCCACGAATTGCACACATGAGACGGACGGCCCTGAAGGCGGAGCCAGCGCGGCAGGAGCTGAAGCCGGAGCGGGAACAGCGGCATCCAGGGGAACGGAGGGAAGAGCGCCCAAAGCAGAGCGAACCTGACATGCACTTTTGTGCAAAGACAACAGAGTCCCACGGACCGGTCAGAGCAGACCGCAGCGACCATAACCCTTGTCTCCAGAGCAGCGGAAGGCCAGGCGGCCTCGGCCCACGGGCCAGCGTGAGCCGAACGGAGACGCACGGGCAGGGGTCCAGCCGCTGCTTGGTCAACCGCACAGTAACCTCCCCGCCCCCAGGGCCTTCGAGAACAGTGGCTCCTGGCCTGCCCCCAGATCCCCAGGTGGGCACGCTTGAGCAGGGCACCTCCCTGCTTTTGAAGTGACAGCCTGCCGGGCTCCAGCGAGTGTGAGGAAGCGGGGACAGCGCTCCCTCACGAGGACTACTGGTGTCCCGGGAAATGAGAAGCGGGCCGTTTCAACCACGAGGCACCAAACCTCACACTACACCCAAACGTTCAGTAGACAGCTTTAGAGCTAACAGGCAGGCTGGGCAATCCCCGCAGGAAGGTCCTGGGTACCGTTTCTGTCTGGAATGAAACCCCTCTGCCTGTGCCGAGAACATCCTAACCACCGCCGGCGCCCCACCCGGCAGAGCACAGCCCCTGGCCTGGCTGGAAAGATCAGGCGGGACTTCCCCACCACAGAGCTGGCTGAAAGGTTCTGCTCTAGTCTAGAAACAGCCCAGCCACAGAGTGCGCAAAACGTCTCCAAAGGCCTAATTACGAAGGCAAACCTGGACGAAAGGAGTAGCGCCATCTCCAAACAGCGGCACGGCGTCCGGCCCGGGGGTCTGGAGAAGAGCCAAAAGGAAGAAGGCAGCTCACCAACCACGTGTCTCAGGGCGACAGCTCGGGCAGGTGAGGGGCAGGGGTCGGAGGTGGTGTAAGAAGGGAGCCCTGGGTCCTGCCGGCGCCGGGCGGAGGCAGTGCCCACCCTGCTGTGCGCCCGCCTCCCTCCCTCTCCCGGCCCCAAGGCGGGTTTAGGGAGCTTGTGCTGTTGCAGATGAAACGGAAGACCCATCACCACGCTCACTCTGTCATCATCTTCCCCCACGTACATCCGCAGGACCCACAAGTGAGATCCCGGCACAGACTATGCCCCACTGTCCAGAGCCCCTCACACAGAGGCTGGAGACAAGAGCTTCCCGAGTGGTCTTTCTGGATGAAGCTTTGTCAGTCTCTTGTCTCAGGTGAGAAAAGTTCTTTCTATTCAGCTGTTGATGAAAAATTCCCGGGGGCTTCCCTGGGGAAGGTGGTTGAGAATCCACCTGCCAATGCAGGGGACACGGGTTCAAGCCCTGGTCTGGGAAGATCCCACATGCTGCAGAGCAACTAAGCCCGTGCGCCACAACTACTGAGCCTGCGCTCTAGAGCCTGTGAGCCACAACTACTGAGCCCACGTGCCACAACTACCGAAGCCCACGCTCCTAGAGCCCGTGCTCCACAATGGGAGAAGCCACCGCAACGAGAAGCCCGCGCACCG